CATCAGTAGAACCCTGAAGCCATGCTAAGACGGAGGCCAGAAATCCATTCACGTTATCTTTGGCATACGTCGGGACGCTGCCCAAAGGTGACACCATCTCAACGATAGCTTTGGTGCACAGGTTGTAGATCCAGATGTCCTTGCTTTGCTGAACTTCCATAGCGCGCTCCTGGCAGTTCTCTGTGTCTAAACAGTCCTGACTGTAGTCGATAAACCAGCTGTAAAGTCCGGCACCCAGCATGTAGATGGAAGAAGAGTCGATGATGCGAACTGCCCAAGAGACGGCGCATGTTGCGGAGGAGGAAGCTACACAGCCACTGAATGTCGGGTCGTTGGGGAACAAGCCAGTCGTGAACGGTGTGGGTGCTTTAGGGACGGGTTGAAAGTAGGGAGACTCCGTCTGGATCATTCCCATGACCACATTCTTGGCGTTGGAGAACTGATACTGGTATAACACATTGTGCTCTACTGAGGTGCCCCAGAGCCAAGCCTTTTCGCTTTCGACGAGGAGACCACGGCCGGCATAGATGTCGACTTGATCGAGAGTGATCTTGTCAAGGTCATGATCTGCAGTCCAGAGCCAGACGTTCTCGAGATATGCTGTTGATTTGGGCTTCAAGTGCATCAGAAGAGAAGCAGCCTTGCACCTTGAGTTGACGATTCCAGAGTCTTTGGGGCAGTTTGCGGTGGATAGATCACTGCCCGCTGCACCGCCAATACGAACGTGTGTATCTGTAAAGAAATGCTGTTAGATCCCTACTAGTAATGATTTCGAACTCAAGAGGATTTCTTACCCCACATGCCAGCAGACCCGGTACTCGACTCAGCAACGTTCCATTCGATAGTGACGGCGCCTGCAGTGGGCCCCTTGACGGTAACCATCATGCTCGTGATTTCTACAATGCCAACATCTCCAGCTTTACCAACCTCAACGACTGCTCTTGGCTGGTTTTCATCTGAGAACTGTGTGTGAGTAAAATGAATTAGCTCATCGGTACTTAGTGGATGCAACGATTTTAGACGATCTTTTACCAACCTTGTCTCCAGTGCCCATGATCTGAGGCCAAACCTGTCCAATGATACGGGAGCCGACAGGTACGCGAAGAGTGTCCGTCACAAGGTAAACACCGTAGGGGAAGAACACAACGGAAGAGGTATTCGCGGCACCCTGTAGGATTGAATTCAGCGCGCTCGTGTCGTCGGTCTTGCCATCGCCCTTGGCACCAAGTGTCTTGACGTTCATGACCTTGCTAGAGAGAACATCCTGGTACTTGGGCCGTCTTCTCGTGAAAAGGTTCGGTTTCAGATTGTCATAGGCGTCGCCCAACAAGCCCTCGTTTCGTTCCATGACAGCGATGTGTTCGCCATTGACAAAGGATGTTTGCCCAGCACCCGTGGTAGCGTTCGTAATACGACCGAAACCCCAGCTATCGACAACGACAGAATTGCCGCCGTTCAGGAGGATGTTTCCAGTCTCGTTGTCAGTGATTGCCGTTATGGTGTTGAAGAATCCGACATTCTGCAGTAGGAATGAGGTAGAATTCTCGGCATAGAGCGTTGTGACGATGCCCTTGGGGGTGTTTGCGATGATGGAGTCCACCAATATGAGTGATCCCACTCCTTGTCCAGTCGACTTTGGACCTCCGGCCTAGGTTTTGTTCTGTCAGATGCCTTCTCAAACTCAAGTAGAATCCAAGGGCTTGCTTACACCACCGACGACGAGAAGCGCGGTCCCGCAACTTTCAAAGATGAAGTCCTGCATAGTCCAGGCCCAGTCCCAATGGACTTGAACACCAACAACGGAATTTACGAACACTAGGTGTGAAGTCGTGAACTGCTGGTTTCCGAAGTATGCTCTGCCAAATGGTCAGTCTCTGCAGAGCATTCTTCACAAAGTTGTGGGAAGCATACCCAAATGCACCTCCAACGAAGGTGAGATCAGCTAGGAAGCCACCCGATCCGTTCTCCATGTAAACGCCCTGTAGATCTGTGTGAGATACTTATGTTTGAGCAAAATGGCTCTTGCGACCGTGATATCAACTGACCTGTTGGTTGTTGCCGGGAACATCTGACTCAAATTGCATGTAGAACTCGATGTTCTCTAGAGATGTTGCTTGCGCGACTTGCCAGTGTATACCACACATGTAAGTCCATGAAGATGCGGGTCTGATGTCGATCTTGAAATTCTTGATACTTCGGAGGAAATTTGCAGTGTTTAGGTACCTGGGGTGGGGGAAGTCAATAACAGACAAGACTAGCGGCATGATAACGCTGCATATGCCGTATTACCGGCATATCATTCAGAGAGGTTCCCACGTACCACTCCTCGTCATCACTGATATAGACGTCACTCTTGATGACACCTTGACCCACGAAGCTTGACGCAGCCAACAGAGTTGGTACATCGAGAGGCTAAATATCTATGTTAGTAACCCATAAGTGTTGATTATCGCAGGTAGTGACCTGCAATTTTTCAATCTCAACTCACATTACCGAGGAATTCTGTGTTGAAATATTGGACAATCGGACTGCTGACCAGATACGTCCCTGGAGGGAAATAAACGACGGCAGGATAAATTGTGCTCGAGCCACAGTCAGGACCGCATCTGACGCCGTCGCTGACGGCCTTGTTGATAGCGTCTGTATCATCTGTCATACCATCGCCTTTTGCACCGTAATCCTTAACGTTTCTCCAAACCTACGTAGAGTTTAATCTTGTTAGTCGCTGTGTTGACAATTTACTAATTGACGGTTTATCAATCGCACTCACTTTGTAGCCGCTAGGAGCGAAGGGACTGGCCCCGGATGAGCCCATGCTGACCATCCACCACTCCTCGGCTCGCTTGTTCAGTGTGTCATCTCCGTACACAGAGAGTCGCCCCTCGGGAGTTTTGAGAGACTCTGGAGTATTGGTGTCATTCGTCTTGTGTGCATACTTCTCTCTTATTGCCTTGGCCACCTCGCTGTGATTCCCCTTGGGAACTTGAGGCGTCGACTCTGCGAGAACTTTGGCAGCCTCAGCTAGCTCAGAGGAGATAGAGAAATTAGGAGCGGAGATCTCGACACTGCTGTTGTCCTGGTTTTGACGCCTTCTCAGCGTAGTATCATTGCTGATCACGGAAGGCGCATCCAAAGCCGGGGCGAGACTCGGTGTCTTGGAGCCAGAATGGAACTCATACTTGTTAAAGTGTGGATTCTCGACTCTAGCTTTGTTGAGAAGCTTCAGAGCAGCGAGTGCCTCCTCTACAATATTCGCGGCACTGGAGTTCTTGTTGTCGGTGCGAGCATGCAGGTGAGCATGGCTGTGATGCGAGTGCTGGTGACCCGAGACAGGTGTTGCAAGACATGCGAAAAGAGTGACGAAGAAGAGCAGGCTTCTCATCAGGATGCTGAGACGACCCATTGTGCTTGACTTTGCAGGTTTCGACAAACCTGGTGAAATCCAACAAGGCATGCGTGTGAGAAAGATAGATTGTCACAAAGTCAAGGTGATTCTAGTCATGATCTATACCAAGCGCTGTTCAGCAAGACAACATCCTGTCATAAGACTGATAATTGAATGTATCATTTCCGGAGTCACCCGCCGTTGCATATGCACTTAGACCCTTACTTGACCAAAGTCCCAAACACAATTGGGCTCCCCGCCATGATCCTTAGGCTGTGGAGTGGGAAGCAAGAAAGATAATAAGCTTACGTGCTTGGCGAGGAGCACGGTCAGGACAAGGGTGTTCGTTTCCGTGAGTGCATGATCGTTCTGGCCCTACGATAGTGGCTTGAACTAGGGTATGCAATTTGTTTGCGATTCTTAATAGTAAGTCTAGATGTCCATTGTCCACACCTATCCCCAGTCCTAATGAGCTTATTCGTCCGATTTATCATATTCCTGTGTAAACGAAGAGATTCAGAATAACATAATTTCCTGCAGGTCTTGATGAGCAATAAGCACTAATGCAAGGGCTCCCGGAGTCCTCCCCAATGAATGTTGGTGGGTCGTGGCAAATATGTCCTCGCAGCGGCCGCTAGGCAGCCGTTCTGAGAGAGAAAATATTACACGGGGGGCTGACTTCCAGAAAGAATTGAAGACACACCGTCAAGGGAACAATCCTCGAGACTCATCAGGCGACGAAGTGCCAAATCGAACGCGCATGGGGTGGCATCGCACTTGACCCGGTCTGCAAGGTACAGCCGGCAATCTCACCTCTTTGAGATCGGTCGGTCCGCTCCGGGATAGCCAAGCCGGGTCGCGAGAAAAAAGCTTATGTCTCGACTGAAGAATGCATCCCTCTCTCGAATCATCGAGCTTGGCGAGCTGATGCGCATGGGGCATATCACGGTTGACGGATGGCCATCCTGGATGATGGGGCGCGCTATTCAGGGTCCTGAACCCTGATTTCTTCGGACTTGTACTTGCTCACGTCATTTTCGTACAGTCTGCCCAATAATATACTCTATGAGCTAATTTTTCATTGCTATTAGATCTCCTGTAATGACAATGTCAAAGAGGGTGGGCACGCTTCGTTCAGGCACCCACATACTCAAGCATGGCTCAAACTTTCCTGGCTCGCGATGAGTACTGCTTGAAGGAAACACCGCACAATTATGGACTATGCCTGGTGTACCTCATTTTCCATTTCGAGAATTATCCGTCAGCCAATCTCCGAACATTGAGTTTGGGTCACTCGAGACCGCGGAAATGGGCTGAGGAGGCTATTCGCAGGGGCGAAAACGGCGATGTCGTCGGTTCCGATGCACTCCCACTCTCCCGCAGGCCCCTTAAGACTGCATATGAAGTTATCGAGTCTATCTCGGAATATCAAGGGTATGACATCTGATGAACCGAGGGGCCGAGTATCGTGTGAGGTATGATGCCCTTGACCGCTGGAATATTACACTAGCCTACTTCCCGTTGAGAGTTTGCTTCTTCACTCTTGCGCTCTGTCTTTCGAAGTTCCACACTCAACTAATCAGGTCTCGATCGTCGATCGAGCAGGTTGGGCATGATGATGTCTTCGAGGAGTTTCTTCTCTCTGGTTCTTCTGATCTTCTTTTCATGCCTGCTCGCAAGTACCAACGCTCAGGATGGTACCGAGTGTAGCGCATCTCTACCATGCAAGGTTGGATGTTGCAGTAAATTCGGCTTCTGTGGTTTCGGGGCTGATTGTAAGCTCAAATACAAGGTGTCTCCTTCTTCGCCGGATTACTGAGTACTGACACACGGCTCAGACTGCAGCAAATCCGTCTGCACTAACAATTGCGATCGCAAAGCAGAATGCGACCCTGGTGGCTTTGGCAAGGACTACGTCAATAAGACAACATGCCCGCTGAACGTGAGTGCAGTCTTTCTGATACCATTTAGTTCTTGGCTGACTATGTGCTTTATTAAAGGTTTGCTGCTCAAAGCACGGCTTTTGCGGAACCACTGAAGAGTTCTGCGGTAACAAGAAGGTCAGCAGGCCTAGCTGTACCGTCGACAAGAGCAGCAAGTTCAAGCGTGTCGTGGGATACTACGAGACATGGTCTGCCTCGCGATCCTGCAACCGCTTCTACCCAGAGCAAATTCCTCGTGGCGTTTATTCTCACATCAACATTGCCTTTGCCAGCATCAATCCCACGACCTTTGAGATCGTGCCTGCTAAGAAGGAAGACCTCGAGATGTACAAGCGAGTCTCTGCTCTCAAAGCCAAGGACCCCAATCTCAAAGTTTTGATTGCTGTTGGCGGCTGGACATTTAATGACCCAGGTCCAACTGCGACGACTTTCTCGGATATTGCGAGGTCTGCTGGTGCCCAGAAGAAGTTCTTCGACTCCACGATCAAGATATTGGAGACCTATGACTTGGTAGGTGAAACCACTGTGCCAATATGGCACATATAGGAGAGCATTTCATTAACGTTGATGCTACTTTGTAGGATGGCATTGATCTTGATTGGGAATATCCCGAGGCGGACGATCGGAGCGGACGTCTTGAGGACTTTGCCAACTTTCCGAAATTCATGAAAAATTTGAAAGCCGCTTTGAAGAAATACGAAGTTAGCATCACACTTCCCGCGTCTTATTGTGAGTTCACATTGAACTCTCTCCACATTGTCAACGATGTCTGACCATCTTCCTCAGGGTATCTTCAGCATTTTGATCTGAAGGCTCTCTCTCCGCACGTGGACTTCTTCAACATGATGACCTATGACTTCCATGGTGTATGGGACAAGCCAAACGAGTTGTGAGTATCTTTTCCTAAGGCGTCATTTGTCATCGGACCATGATTGCGCAGTGCAATGGCTAATGTCGGCTGGGACAGTGTTGGGCCATACTTGAACAGCCACACGAACCTGACTGAGATTAAGGGGGGACTTGATCTCCTCTGGCGCAACGGTGTAGACAAAGACAAAGTCACGCTAGGCCTCGCCTTCTATGGACGCGGCTTCATCGCCAGCAGTTCTTCCTGCATGTCTCCCGGTTGTACTTACGAGTCGGGAACGTACGCTCAAGCCTGCAGTGCCGAAGTTGGCGTCGCTCTGAACTCAGAGATTGACCAGCTCGTTTCTGAGCAGGGGGCCAAGGTAACACTGAATAAAGATGCTGCCGTCAAGATCGTCACCTGGGGCGGCAACAACTGGCTCACCTTCGACGATGAGGAGACTCTTCGTCTCAAAGCGGACTATGCTCGCAGCCTATGTCTCGGCGGTGTCATGGTTTGGGCCATCTCGCACGATACCAGGGCTGGGAAGTATTCCATGGCTCTGTCTCGTGTCGCTCCTAGGCTGTTCACTTCTGAGATGGCTACGGAAGAAGACGACGGTTATGTCACCGATGTTGAGGAGCACAAACAGTGTCGATGGACCAATTGCGACGAAAATTGCCCTTCTGACTGGACCCGTATGATGCGAAGTGGTCCAGGTGCAGGGAAGAACGAGTACATGGTCAATGGGGCAGGTTGCGGTGGCCGTGGAGAGCAGTGAGTTGCTAAATTTGAGTTGAAGCGTTGGGACTGACGTTGCTTGATAGTAAGTTATGCTGTCCTCCCGGCAACAAGCCAACTTGCGGGTGGTATAAACACAACAATGGTGATTGCGATAGTAAGTATGCTACTTTCCCTGTTGACGGTCAACTTATCTGACGCTCGTCTCTTAGGTGGAAAATCCTGCCCCAGCGGCTATAAGGAAATCGGCAGCAATAACGAGTACTGCCACACCCAGGGTGGAGGCTTCTCACCAATCAGGAGTTACCAAGCAGCCTGTTGTTCAGTGGAAACTGACAACATGAAGCTATATTCTCAATGTGACTGGAGTGCAAAGGTTGCTTCGAGCACCTGGCCAGGTTGCGAAAAGGCTACCTGCGGTTCCGACGTCATCGCGTTCTCCGGTGACGGTAGTGGTGATGCAATGTGCTGGGGAGCCTGGTACAAGGGAGGTATGGAAGATTCAAAGAAGAACAAGTACTGCTGCGATCAACCTGAAGAAGATAAAAAGTGGAAGGACTGTGAATGGCAAGGCATGACAGATGTAAGTCACCCAGTCCGGCTTTGGAGGCCAAGCATTGGGTGATAAAATATCATTCCCCGATTGACGAGGTTCATGTTCGAATACCTTCATCATGCCGAGCTAATTATCGAAACAGTGGACAGATGAAGACACAGGCTTGAAGTTCTGCAACCCGTCATGCTCCGGTGGCCTTACCATGGTTGCCATGGAGCACACGGGATGCTCAGGCGGTGGTGCCAGGGCACGGTGTTGCAAGCCCGGTTGGACGACCTCAACCACTCGATATGAAAACAGCGAAGACGATTACTTTGAGAGTTACATCAAGTGTAAGTAATTTTGGAGCGATTAGGGAGTTGGCTGCTAATCCAATCTGCTTTCAACCAGTGTTCATGGAGAACCCTGTCTGTTCAAGTAACATCTTTTTCGGAAACCCCCTCAAGGCTCGAGATGAGCATTCTGTCTCCTATTCGAATGGTCTGTTGAGCATATGAACCGGTCCACGTATCACGATGTATGTTACTAACATAAGCTCTGCTCTTCAGGCACGCTTGCCAGCCGTCAGATTTGGGGTATTGGCGATATCCAGAGTTTCGCGACAGAGCAGTACATGGAGAAGATGGTTTCGGAGCTCTTCATGGGAACACCGCGAGAGTCCACAAAGAGCATCTGGAACAACACAATGCTCTCGTACTCTGAGTTCAATAGCCTGTCCTACGCCAACCTTCACGACTACCAGCAGGCTCAAGGGTACGACTACTATCTCCAATTGGGCACGCAATGGCCCCGATACGTCGTATGCAACTTAGGAAGCATCAATGCGGCCATCAAAGGAATTGATGGCGAGGGCGATGGTACCTGCACCATAACCTGTGCCTGCACTAGAGATGATTGCTGCAACGAGGACGATGATACTTGCATCAACTGGAGCAAGGATGGGGAGACGACAGCTCTGCAGAAGAGAGGCGAAAAGAAGCCTTATCCTTGGATTGCTATCGACCCCGTTACAGGCGCCCAAGCGAGTTTGCCTTGGAACGCACCATCCGTATGTTGAAGTCCTGGGACCCATGATGTTTGTGGCCATACTAAAATTTGGAACAGTATCCCTCCCCTGGCGACTTGAACGTGAACACAGAGAGAACGCATTTTGCCGATGCTTGGAGATACGACCCAAATTGTGCCAACTTTGATCCAATCGTCATCGATCTCCTTCCCAATGGGCCCACGGGTCCGATGATCAAGGGATACGAGAGTAAGTTGTCTTTCGGTACATGTACATTTCGACTACACCAGCTGACTTCGGCCTTCCTTTCTTTGCAGACGATCACCCCTTTGAACGCAAGATGACTTCCATCTGGGGAGATGATGCGCTTCTTGGGCGACTTGCCGCCGATGTTGGTGATTCTAAATATACTGTGCCTTTTGACTTCTTCACTGTGTCGCTACAGCAGACCAACGCGGCAGGTCAAACGATTCAGAACATGTTGATGAATACGCTGGGCAGTAAGACGAATCGTGGGGTAATGACCTTGATGATCAAAGACGCGAATCTGCTCAAGGAGAAGGTAGGACTATTCACACATTCCCACGTTCTAGCCAGGATGATGACTGATGGTCGATTTACAGTTATGGACACTCAGGGACGACCTCGTTTCCCCCACGAAGATGGAGAATCTCGTATATGGGAACTGCCCGAAAGACGCGCTGGACCAGATCAGAAAGGTGAGGTTTCTATTAAATCAATGAAGGTCAACTGGGTGGACTGTCGGTACTAATGACCATATTTCACGCAGGTCCTTTCCGTTTACCGATACCATTTGCGTCCAGCATTCCACGACAAGCTCAAAAAGGTCGTCAATGATTTCCGCGACCTACTCCGAATTGCAGAGCAGCATTACGCGAGCACACACGGCGGCGCCAGCCCCAACGCGGTGAACCATTTTGATGAATGGTTCAAGACTACACTCGAGAAGATGAAGGAAGTCACTGAGGAAGTTGGCAACCAGTGGCTCCCCGAGTTGGCTCGCAACCCTGCCGTTACTGGCAATGTCGTTGATAATTCCATACGCCAGAATCTGGTGAGAGCCTTCAGCAGCCTTCCAGATATTGACACCACGGGATTCTTCCCTTGATTCTACAGTAGATTGTCTTGTCTGCCCCGGCACCGCTCTCATACACGGCAGGGATCACTCCCCCCGTTGATCTATCTGTCAGGAAGAAAGGCAGCTCTCATCAAAGCAAAACACGTACATGGGACCGGATTACAACTACTTGAGCATAGATTCATGGATACTGTATAAATATGGTTCTTATACCCGTTGTGGAGCTTTTAAAGGCGCCTGAAAACTTGCTATCTATCGACGTGGTGGAACAAACTCTCGTCGGGCTGCCGTTCAGTTCCACAAGATCTGCTATCGCTGAGTGTACCACTTCTCCCCAGACCCTTCGGGTATATCAACGCGATCAAAGGTCCAATTCTCATTGGAGGATCTTTCAACCTTTTCGAACCACGCATCCGCTAGGTCATGCGGACTAAGCCTCATCCAGCCGTCGTAGTTATCTTCATCTTCAGTGCCGCTGAACCGTTGCACTGCTGCGGAGTCGACGAGCCAAACGTAGACGCCGGCCCAGATCTGATCGCGGGCCTGGTAGATTGTGAGCTCACTGGATCTTGACGGAAGAATCGAAAACATTCGACTTACCCGTCTTTCCGCGCGAGGCACAAGTTCCGTCGACGGCATGTCATCGGGCAGGGCAGCGAGAGATCGCATAGAAGCCTCGTCGATGACGAGGAAGTCGCAGAATCTTGGGCTATCTCCTAGGCCAGAATCGATCTCACCAATTGCTCTGCCACGCCAATCCTCAAATACCTGGGTGAGTGCCTGGATGGTCTCTTGGCTTGTTACGGAAAGGTCAGGAATCTTGAGCTTCTCAGACTCCCTATCCTCAATGACCTCGAGAATGAACCGGCGCGCAAGTTCCTCGTTAATCTCACCGTCGGGCTTGTTCATCACGAGACGGTTAGCGTGGATGAAGTACTTGGTAACCCATCGGTTGAGTTTGTCCATCGCGATCGGCCAGAGTGTGTCGGACTCTTCTGAGTATGCGGTGCGTAGCACTGTCCAAACAAGTCAGCCGCCAGCGTCATCGATAATCGAAAAGGTCAGGATGGGTGGGCATGGAAAGTCGGGAGCACTTACCCGTATAACCCCAGGATCCCGCAGCGTATGTGATGCCTGACCGTTCGCACCTGAACATGGAGGTGAAAAGCTCCTCCACCCTTACCATGGCTTGGCCATCCTTGTCGCGATTTTCCCTTCCTCTGCGATACTTGTAAAACTTCGGCTCTGGGGGAGGGAAAGTCTGTTGAATTGACATTTCGATAAGTCGAGCCTCGATGAGTGACAACAAATTTTCTTCGAATGAATTTTGTGCGATTTCAAGGCGTTGATGTAAGTGAGCTGCCGTGGCGGGTATGAAATGGGCATGGGATGTTTGTAAGATGTTTGGAAGGGAAGTGGTTCCGATGAATGATTTTGGCTGTCACGAATAAGCCTGGAATATGCAATTGAAGGGGCAGAACCGGAATCCTTGTTCGCGATGTCAGATTGCCATCAGGAAAGGGTCTCTCCTTCATCTAAATAAGCGCCGGCGATGAATGCCTCTTCAAGACAAAATACGTGCAGTCACACTCCCGACAATAGCTAACAGCCACGGAGTGATACTAGGACTCATTCGCACACCTAGCGACTCTCGACTTTGCACCTCCTCTGTAAATTGACCCACGACGTTGCCCCTCGGCCAGTATTCGCACACAAGATACCACTGGCCATCGCCACATAACTTGCGCCCGCATCCGACATCCGTTGTGTCCTTCCACACGAGCTGTGTAAAATGACCCGTCTCTTCGTCAAATTCGCCCTTCTTGAAGTTGTAGTCGTCGCGCTCTTCGCCCCACGCCTCAACGCTCGCCGTCGTGTTGGGGTATCCCTTAGCCAAGTTCTCGCCGTAGGGGCCGCCCGAGTGTTCAAAGTCGCAGCTGTCACCCGACATGTCGTCAAGGTAGTCGGTCGCGAAGTCGGCGAGCGTTTCGTTCCATGTTACAGAAGACGCATTGTGCTCGCCGCGATAGAAGTTCGTGCTGTTGAGAACGGCCGAGGTGAAAGTGTTGTCTGATGTCCACTGTGGCTCTGCCGTTGGACTTGTGGGCGCTTCAGTGACTGTTGTCACTACTGTCTGGGCGGAGACTAGAGTGTGGAGGAGGGCGAGAGTTAGTGCTTTTGTGAGATACATTACTCCGATTGAGTGAGTCTCAGTGTGATGCTGTCAGTGCTGATGGTTTTCACTTGGGTACATGTATGCACATCGACTATGTGAGATGTGGCGACGCTTAAATCAAGTGAGATACCACTCACTTCCTTCAAATCTCTCAGGTGGGCATCTCATGATGAATATAAGTGTCCATCATTAGGTGTACGAAAAGGCCTTCATGACATGGCTGGCTTATTGGACGCGGAAGCTGCAAAACCAGGTTTGCGCCCATGGCCCTGGGTTCCCAGCCAGTCATCACGCCTATCGGCGCGTGGGATGACGCAGTCTGGCCAACTTTGGGGCATTCCAAGACCACCCTGGACTGCAGGGTGCTGACGGCCACCTCTGGGCAAGCCAATGACGGATGCTCTTGAGGGCCCCTGGCAGCTTTAGAGCTTTCGAGCACATGTTCATCCGTGCTTTGGCGACGCCCGTGGCTGTGGCTCAGCCTACTGCGATGATCTTTGAGACCGAACCAGCCGGCCGGTCCTCATCTCCATATTCTCAATTCTTTTCCCCGCGCTTCGTCCATACGAGGGGAAGTGAAAGGAGTGTACGAAACACCGATGTAGGTTTTGAGGTGTGTGTGTTTTTGATGGGCTTGCTCGGAGTTTTGTTTGAGAAAATGAGTTTAACATCCAGTCCGCAGACGACCTTGAAAAAGAATTGCAGTCTAATATGCCCGTGGTGAGCACATGTAGGCAGGTACATAGGTGAAAGCTCACAGTGACTGCCGCCCGGAAACAGGCCTGTATAGTGTTTTACTGCTGGAAATGTGATTCAGGTGATGCTGCACGACTGGACCAAAGCAAGCCTTGCTGGGCTGACAAGGGCGCCGGAGGTTTGGAGGTAGTACTTAAGACGTCGGACGCGAAATTGACTCTTGTTTCATAATCGTAAATGATCTGAGCAAATGCACAGGATAGGTAGATAGGTGATGGAGCAATTTGAAGCTCAGTAGCTTCAAGTTGTCTGCTTTTGGCCATCGGATTCAACCACCTCTGGTCCCGACACAAAGCACGGCACGTCTGGGGATTCTAAAGAGTGATGTACCAAGCACAAGGTAGCTTACGAAGAGGGGAATCAACTGAAATGCTATCTATGAACACACGCTATGCTAAACTGAATGGAAATCTTGCCACTTCCCTACGCGGAACCTCCATTCTTGATGCTTTTCAATGGATGCAGCCATTTGTAGGTGCCCTCAAACGGTTCCGTGGCCGAGATGAAGTCCAATACTCCAGCCTTCTGCGCGTTCGGCGACACGATGAAGGTGATGAAGAGTTGCTGGACAAAAGACCACGACATGACGTACCTCGACATAATCCAGTCCCATGTCGAAGCCCACGCGTGCATCCTAGTCACACGCGCAGACTGCTCGAGATCTTGCTCCACGCGTTCGCGCCTTTTCTGCCTGTACGCCTCGAACTGGGCCTCCAGCGCCGAGAAGTCGGGCGTCTTGCCGTTGGCTTCGTTCGCGGAACCAGAGACGAACTTCTGGAGCCTGTTGCAGAGCGCCACCACGTCCTGCACGCCATTGTTGAAGCCCAGGCCAGCGTTGGGCGTGAACTTGTGCGCTGCGTCGCCTACAAGGACCACCCTTCCTTTCCAGCTCCAGTGTTCGCAGAGGCCCTCCTCAAGGCCCGCACCACCGGAATTGAAGCGCTCTTTGTAGACATCCTTGACTTTTAGGGTGTCTGTGATGGGCCAATCTGCAAATCTCCCAGCAAACGCATCCAGTTGCTCGTCGGTGAAAGAGATGCGTTCTGTCGTGGGCTCGGGGAGCTTCTCGTACAAGAAAATCCAGCCCCTATCCTTGCCAGTGATGTACATGACCGAGTTGTCGGTTCCCGAAGTCTCGTAGCTCTGGCCGGTCTCTGTTGGGCGCGGGAACGAGGCCCACATGCACTGGTACAGTGTCTTGAAGGGCTTCTCAGCGTCCCACGTCTTCTCGCGGGAGGGGTCCTCGGCAACGGCTAGTTTGCGCATCTGCCGGCGCGTCGCGGAGTGTACGCCATCGGCGCCAATAACAACGGAGCCGTCGTAGGAAGAACCATCCTCACAAGTGACAGTAACTCCCGTCTCCGTAGAGACGATTCCGGCTAGCTTTTTGCCGGTCAAGTACTTTGCTTTGGCAGCTTCTGGAAGACCATCGTAGAGGGTCTCGATGAGGTGAGCTCTGTGAAATGCGACAGGTTCTGCGCCGAAACTAGAGGATGAAGAAGAGTTTGTTAGCGAGCACACGATTTGGCTTACATGGACATGTGAAGTGGGGGGAATAGGGGTCTGCGAAAACACGAAGGAGAAACCAAAGGAAGAGACTTACTGCTCTTTGAAAATTGCCAGTGTCTTTGCATTCTTGAATTCGTATCCGTCGATAGTAAATCCTTTATTTTCGTGCAACTTGCCCCCAATTTCCATAAGGTTATCGAGGATACCAAACTGATGGAAAACGCGCAGGCTCTGTGCGCCCAGGACGAGACTTGCGCCGAGATCCTCGACGATGTTTGTCCTGCGTTCGAGAACGACGAAGTCGATTCCGGCGTGGTGAAGCGCATGCGCGGCGGTGATACCGCTAGGTCCACCACCAATTATGATGACTTTGAATGGTCCGCTTGACATGATGAATGGAGTGTGATTGCAAAGAAGTCTTGGATGCTGCGAAATTGACTCAGCAAACGGCCTTGGGATTGTGGCCGGTGATATATACCACAAGAGGCCCGTCCCCACCGAGACGGTACCGGGTCTCCGCCCTCTATGATTGTCCGCCTAAGTTCCCGGGCGCTGGTGCGTCCACCGGGTGGCTGGCCATCGCAATGGACCTTGTATGAGGTTTCATTTTGTTGTCGACGTAGGATCGGGCACTAGGTCTCTTGGGGTCAAACTCTGGCCCGTTCCCGTCCCATGTCGACAAGGACTTCACTGGTTCGCAGCGTGGATCGAGAAGGAACATACTGGCAGTTCCACACACGTTCAATTCCGGGCAAAATAACGCAGAATGAGCCCAGCCGCTGGTGTACGACTCTACTCCGTCAGCAATTTGCCCACTTGCGGTGGTAATAAGTCCGACTTAGACAGCGTAGAGGCGGAGTCGGCGAATGTCCACCTCGGAGACTTACTTCACTGCAGTGATTACTTGCAAGGAAATCATGTCTTCGGAGCCAAATTGAGGGATAGTGGTACGCTACCATGCATGATTATCAGAGCCAGGACCCTTTGATGCGCCGGGCAAAACCCATCTGAACCCCGGAGATCCCACCTAGAGACCCGTTCAAGTTCCGAAACGGAGCAGATGCTACGTCACGCAAGAAAAATGCAATCGAAGGTAGTGCTTGCTCAAAATTCGATTCGCAGTTTTTATCTGAATATCCCATGAATCATGGGTTTAGTAACGTTGAACATGGCGGAGTTCGCAGCAACAACGGCAACTTTTTGCGAAAGTTGCACCCACAGAACTCGGACCTTGTGATCTCCGACGGTCCGATAGTAAGCACATTGTACGGAGGAAGAAAAATACCGTGCTGCCGTGCCATCCCGCCGGTATCGAGGCCTTGAGGCTCGACTTATCGGGACCAAGAGAGGATGGTCTAAGATCCGATAAGCTATTTCGTGCAATTGAGATGATTGAGTAAGTCTATAATAACATAAACCTGACCTCTTCTCAGAAGCTCAGCAGCCAAACTCACTCTTTCTTGCGCGTGCACACCTACATGCGCCATATAGGGGTGTGCGGAAAACGATTGAAGAGTCAGTAGCATCATCACGCCGACCATGGACTTCAGGTCAATAGTAAGACAATGAACGCTACTACAGTTAGCCATTCTCTTCATGTTTCTTCTACTTGTGTCTTTCTGAGACTTGTTCTTCGCTTGCACCTATAACAGAGATGGTAATCCTAGAATAGAAGGCATCCAAGCCTTAGGACTATGAGAGACCAGATGGTGTTTCTGAGCTGTCGCCGCGTGCTAGTCCTTGAAGTACACGCATAGCCAGTGCTTTGTCAAGCTCAAAGGACAATAAATACTCGAGGCCTCTCAATAAGCAATGTTCGCTCTCGTTATCATCCCATCGAGAAAAGCTATATTCCTGCTGCCATACGCTCCGACTTTCCAAGCCTGGTAGACTATCCCAGTCACAATCTGAGAGCCCGGGCGTTCTAGATGACTTATGCTCTTGCTGAGCGCCGTGTTGATGAAACAGCTTAGTGTAAATGATTCATCTGAATAATCAATGATCAGGAGACTTGGGATCTGATGAATATCATGAGCAAGCTTTCACGGGCGGAAAGGTCCTGTCTAGGATTTCTACCCACGGAAAGACGGCATGGAGAAATACTCCCGGTTAGCCGGTATGTCAGACTGAAGTGGATGGCGCAACTCAGTCAGGTTAGCGTTTAAAGTATTGTCCTGAGCTGGCGGGACCTGCCGAATAAGGGTGCACAGCCTGCCATATCAAGCCATATTCTTCAACGATCATTGTCAGCCTGCTGCCTAGAGTCCGAGATCACGAAACTGGGGCCGTTCCGATCTAAGCCGTCAGCGTAACGACATCCCACTCATCATTCTACACTTTTTCGTAGTACAATGACACTGCAAAATTGAAAAGAGAGACATTTTTCTCCCTGTTCCTCATCTAGACCTGTCTGTTGTTCTCGTGACAGGTTCACCATGGTGTATGCCAAGTCGAAAGTCTTAGACAACTAGGCGAGGGATGCGGAGACCGGGGTAGATCGCCATTGCCCCAGTCCGGTTTGCCTGGCTTGGCATAAGTGACCTCACGTATAAGAAGAGTTGATTAGGATGTCCCGTAGTGAGAATTACTCGGTGCGGCTTTGACTATCAACCTCGTCCCGTTCCAAACTTCCACCTCAAACAACAGTCAATATTATGAAGCTTCTATCATCAATCGCATGCCTCCTAGGTACGGCAGCTGCCGCGGTCGACATTCTGTTGCCGCTTTATATCTACCCTATCAACGATCTACAGAAGCCTTACGATGGTACTGTGGACTGGCAAGCAGCTATTGCTGCCATTGACGCCCACCCGGACTTGACATTCAACGTCATCATCAACCCCAACAGCGGCCCTCCCTTTGCTTTTGAGGACGGCATCAAGATTGACTGGGCCCAGTGGATTGACCAAATCAATGACCGTCCCAATACTGTGACCTTGGGCTACATCTCGACCCTTGGCACAGTACAAGCCCAGCCCCAGGACATCGCCGTCGTCAAGCAGGGAGTCGATACCTATGCCGCATGGGATACAACTAACGGCTGGGATGGCAACTCTTGGGACATTCACATGGACGGTATCTTCTTCGATGAGGTCAACACCGCTCCCGCCCAGCTTCAGTACTACACTGATATCACCAACTATGCCAAGTCCGCTACGGGCGTGGTGGTACTAAATCCGGGTGTGGCCGTCGACCCCGCCAGCTCCTCGCTCTATACTGTGGCCGATGCAATCCTGTCGTTGGAGACATGCTACACGGCTGATTCCGATGCGCCCCAGGATCGGTGTCCGAGAAATACGTACACGCCGTTCACGCCCGCGTCGTTGAGCTCGCTACCGACGGACGCCGCGCAGAGAGCCAAGTCTGCTGTTCTGGTCCACGACTTTTATGACGATTGGCAGCCTTACCAGCCTGCTCCGGTGGCGACTCTCCAGGCAGATATCAATGCTATTGTTGCGCAGGGTGTGCATAGCTTGTATATCACGCAGTGGGGATATAATGAGAGCTTCACGCGCGAGCCGGCCAGTGTTGGGACCGTCTCCAATTTGCTGGCGCTGGCTCAGGGCTTGGGATCCGGCGTGCCCCTATGATTGAGGTCTATCATAGCCTTGGAAATTATCGTTGGCTCATCCATCTCATTGTCAGACTCGCGCAAATAGGACTCTGGTCGAATTACATGTGGTGTTTCTAAAACTCACTTATAAATTTGCCGTGCTTCCAAGCCTTTGGTGCGAAGAGAGATATCAGCTCCTTCATAGCTCTAGTCTTTTCAAGTTTATAGGCTGAGACTACCTCTCAAGATTCGCTCTTGCTGTCTGGCCAAGCGCGTGATGCGTGTTGACTGTGATGACCCGGATTCATCAGGTTCCTTTGCTAGGCCACGCTATGATGACGATGCGTTAAACCTCTCCAATACCAGCTCATAGTCCTCTCCCGCTTTGCCTTTACGTAGCATAAAGTCCTGCGACAAAACACCTGAGCTGGGCGTCGTAAATTCCAGGCGGTATAATGATTGAAACCCATACTTCTCGTAGATCCCCTTTGCCAGAGGCACAGCTTCCAAGAATGCCAACTTTCCTTCCTCATCGGCCCTCTCGACGCCCCATCTCAGAAGTGGGCTGGCTGCGCCTTTCCCCTGGTGCTCTGTCCGGCAAATGAGAAGCTCGAGGTACCAGTGTCTAGTTTCGCCCATTATTTCGGCATGCTTACTGCCGATAGAGCCAAAAAAGTGGTTTGCAAACTCTGGATTGCCCTCTTTCGGCCAGATGTCCGCTGGAGGCGGCGGCTCGACGTTTGTCTCGTTGGGTCCTGCTGGGCGAACCCACTTTGCGCAGGCTATGGGTAGATCAGGGTCTTCATAGTCTGGATCGGTGATGATGAGCCAGTGGAATCGAGGTTCGCTCATCTCTTCCGCAAAGGATTTGGCGAGAAAGTTGCGGACTTGCGTGGTTGCAGGGAAGCATGTTATGGCTACCGGGTTATCGTGGAAGGCGGAGAGGTAAATGGACGCGAGGGCCGGGCCGTCGGCCGGGGTAGCGGGGCGTAGTTTGACGGGCATCTTATTGAAGGTGCGAGTGAAAGTCGCCGGCTGTAACCTGCTTCTCTAGTTGGGAAGTCTTCCGATTTGTTGTATGAATCTCCCTCCTCTCCAGCCTGAATAGCTTTTAGTTGTAGAAAAGAGAAAGCTAGACAGAGTCTTTGTGTGTTCTCCTCTTTGACTTTGCGCACAGGTGTTGAGAGGTGTGGCGCATTCAACTGCCTCTTTGGGTATCGCGTTGGCGGCTTTGATGGCCGTTTCTGTGGCTAACCTTTTGCTTTATGACGGGAGGAGCATGGGCACTTGCATAACTTATAACTTTGTCTTATGTCTTTCATAACCACTCAGCCAATTCACTGCACACGAAAAAGACTTAGCAAGTGCGGGGCTCCATCCTGCCTTCACAACTCCCACGCCCAACCACAACAAAATCAAAAGGAATATCCTCACGACAGAGATGAGATTTGAACTCATGCGGCCGAAGCCATATGATTGCGAGTTTAATTCGAGTCATACCCATTAACCACTCTGGCACTCTGCCCTTGTTGGATACGGGGATCTCAAAGAGGCCAGACTATGTTGGATCCCAGGGGTGGTGGGTGTGGTGGAGGTTGCGGAGAAGTCGGCAATCCTTGGGGTGGGGTGACAACTTGCGAGTACCCAGACGTGAAACGGCATTGTCTAAAAAGGATTTCCGGCACTCGATTGGTTAATTCGGACTGAAGTTGATGTTCCTGGGTCTTTGTAGTGACCTACGGCTTGTGAGGCGAAAAGGTGGACTTCACGGAAGCTCCGGACGCAATTGCCATGAGGACAACATTCTTTCTGGTTTTGTTATGCAAGACAAGACACCGCTCTTTTGTTACTGACGTGCGCTTGAAGAGCAAACGCTTCGGCATAGTTTAATACAAAGGTAGATGAGGGGTTTTGCCTCAATGAGGGGTTGTGCCTCGCCAGATGTCCACCCCGGCCTCTCGACTTCGGGAGGAACAGTCGGGCCCCGATTATGGGCAAGCCTGCTCCCAAAAGAAATATCCTATAGCTCCATAATTACGGTCTCTATCACCTAAACAAACTCAAAAGAAACAGCTTTCACATCAACCATCACCACGTGAATGCAAGCTCTCCCAACCTACCTTAATGCAAACACAGCCCGAGTAGTTCCCGCCTGCCTCAAGGGGTATGGGCTAGTGGATCGTTAGCTGCGGAGAGTTCGGAACACTAAATCCAAGCTTAAAAGTGATGGACTGATCGGCTTGATCGGCCCAGAAGCCCTAGACACGACATCGGTACGAACCGCACTGCTATTTCTAGCATCCCACCGGGATTGAAAGAGCTGAGACTTGACCCTAGCCACCGAAGAAATATGCAGTCTAAACCGTCATTCATCTCTTCTCCTGGGCGTATTCAATGCTCAAACGTTACAATCTTCAGATAGGCGAGTTGTGGCTGAAAATTGGACAGAGAATACCCCGGCATACTAAGCGGACGGTTACATGGCTTTCTGAATGGTATCATCGCCACCTGCAGCACTCTGTCTTGGCAAGTTCACGCAGCCTATGAGAAGTCCGGCGATGCGGAGTAGCAAAGACGGCTCGACGGATAGCAAAGGCATAGGCGAAGCCGAACAGAAGAACTTAATCATTGTAGCGATGGATAACCTTGGTGACGTTGACCAATAGTGCCAAGAATTTGCGACATCTTTCCGACCTGCCTATTTCATATCGAAAGACCAGGCTCATCAATTGTCCGTCTGACAAGATCCATCCCCAGAGAGGGGTTCACGTTCTGTACCTGAGGACCGAACTGCTAAGCGATGGTCTTATTCAAACGGCATTTTCGCCATGGCTTGGCTTATGCAGATCGTGCAGAATCCTGACCGATGAGTGATCGGGCCAAATGCAAGTATTCTGCATTTACTCAGCGGTGAAATTCATTTCCTGGGACTTTTGTGACATCCCAGTGACATGGCGTCTCTTGGCTTGGAAGATGGAAGGCCGGACCACGTTGCTGATGTTATAAATGCTGACGATAGTTCTACCACTTGTGGAATAAACTTCTCGCCCTGGACTACATCTGACACTTACGTCTCTGTAGCGGCAGCTTCTCCTCCAGCCATACTGGTAGTGAATCAGTCGCCATCATGAAGTCCAACGCGTTAGTTGTCGCCATTGGCGTCTTATCTGGTGTCACCATTGCCAGAGAGCTGGAGCCTAGTGCCGAGTTGTCAGCCTGGTATGACACCGGCGCGGCTCACCAAGAGAGCATGGAGCACAAGATCGTAGGTGACCTCGCTTCTTGAACTACAAGCACAATCAAGTCTAACAACATCAGGCTCAATGGGAACAAGCCGAGGCCGAGGGAAAGTTCGATTCGACTCAGTGGACGGGTCGCGTCAAAGACTATCTCGCATGCAAGGATGGCAAGGTAGAGCTCGTCAAGGGCGACCCTCTTCAGACATTCCGATGCAAGGATGTAAGTCAATGGTTGAAAATGGGATCGGCCTAATCGTCCTAGGTGCTAGAGAGTTTCGCTCACAAATAACAGCTCGACCTCTACGACTTTCAACCTCACGCAGCGTTTGGCAACTCAACCGGTAGAGGTTCCGGGTCGTGGGGATGGACGGCACCAAACGGCCGGGAGTTCTCTGCCATCGGGCAGCTCGATGGTACTGCATTCGCCGAAGTCTCGAAGCAGGGCAAGCTGATCTATCTCGGCAAATTGCCCTACTTCTCCGAGCCAAGCAGATGGCGTGAGATCAAGGCCTACAAGAACTACCTCGTCGTCGGTAGCGAGGCGCCTGGTCACGGAATCCAGTTCTTTGACTTGCGCAAGGTATGTCAAACCTGCGGGGAATCTCGTGTAAAGCATACGCATAGGTGAGCTACGGGCTAATACCGCTTCAGCTGCTCGACATCGACCCCAAGAACCCCGTTGTCTTCTCCAATGAGAAGGATTTGACGGCTCATTGGACCGAAGCTCTACCCCTTGGTCGCAGCCACAACGTCGTTGTCAACGAGGAAAAGGGATATGCCGTTGCCGTCGGCGCCCAGCCGCGTCGCAACCTTCCATGTGACTCTGGTCTGCAGTTCCTCGATCTTGCCGACATCAACAACCCTCTCTATCTGGGGTGCGCAGCTGGCGATGGCTATGTTCATGACGCGCAGTGCATCGTGTATCGCGGACCTGATGTCAAGTACTGGGGCCGCGACATCTGCTACGGCTACAACGAAGATACCTTGACCATGTGAGTCCTTTGACACCGACTGTGTTTTACCCTATTTTCTGACCAGCTGTCAAGCTACGATGTGACCGAGAAGAACAGCACCAACATCATCTCACGCACCACCTACGAGGGTGCAACCTACACCCACCAGGGCTGGGTCATTGACCCCAATTGGCAGGATTTTCTGGTGCTAGACGACGAGATTGACGAGCGAAACAAGACCGGCCCAGCGGCTGACGGCTTCCCTGTGACCTACTTCTGGGACATCAGATCCCTCGAGAAGCCCAAGAACTCTGGTATTTTCAAGGGTACTGTACGCAGTGTCGACCACAACCAGTTTATCCATCGCGGTCTGGCGTACCAGAGCAACTATGGTGCTGGGCTTCGTATTCTCGATATTTCATCCATTCGATGGGATCCCACAGCCAAGAACGTCAAGGAGATTGCCTACTTTGATATCTTCCCGGAGGATGACAATGAACCTGGCGGTGGAGCAAACAACTACACTGGTACTTGGAGCCATTATCCGTACTTCAAGAGTGGCTACATTGTCATCAACACTATTGAGCGCGGTGTCTGGGTTGTGAAACGATCCAACCCTTGGTGGTGGCCGTGGTAAGGGGCAGACTTCACATCAATCGGAATATGGTGTTCCGATGCCACAGTCGTCTCCCGAAAGCAGCAAATATATGTTCTTGTATATAGTATAAACTCCCTTGTTTTCTTAGAAACCCGGATTTTTCAAGACGAATCCTAGTTTTACTCAGCGCTGCGTTTCCATATTGCGCCAATCGAAGGTCTGACAAGTTGATGCGCCTTCAATGGTACATCCTCAAGACAATCAACTAGGTTACAACCGCGATGATTTGTTCGCCCGCCATCACCTCACACTTCGGTCTCACTGATTGGGTAGTGTAATCATTGATCTGGAGAACCGCTACTCAGGGATTAGATGGCTGACGCTCAATCGGGGCAGAAACTCCACCGAGCATTACGTCGCTCCACACAGGCCATGTATGCAGGCCAAGACTGCTGAGGCAGAATATCCGGGAACGACGTGCCGTCTACTTGGCGCAAAGCGGCACTGCCTTGACTCCCGACATCATACTCTTTTGAACGGGCAGGGCAAATGGTCCTTCCAAGAGCAAACGCCGAGGACGCGTGGACATCGATTTGAATTGAGTTAATACCTGCATTGCCGAGTCCCGAATCCAGCTTTTTTCATTTCACATTTCATCCACAGTCGCTTTTTGCCTTTTTGTCTGTAGCTCTCAGACCTGCTTTTAGCATTCAACCATCGGGCACGAATGCCTCGTTCTCAGCCTCGAGGAGACGATGGCGCCCAGCAAATCAAAGACCATGACAATTTGAATAGACAGGAAGAAGGCGAGCTTGCCCAAAGCGATGATTGGCATCATGGCCTGTGTGGATGTTGTGCATCCTGCGAGCTTTGCCTTCTGAGCACCTTCGTGCCATGTCTTCGTATGCCGCTCTCTCAACGTGAAAGTAGCTGTTTTGCTGATAGATCTCGAAAGTTCTCGGGCAGACTTCCCATCGGATCAAGGAGCCTTCGATGGAAAGTTATAGGCATATCAATCGCGATTGTCTACTGATGCTGGGAGTCACATATCTTACAGGCTTTGGTTGGATGCAAGGAGCCAAAAACGACGACTTTCCATCTCCAAGTCACTAACAATGCATTCCAGGTATGTCATGAAGAAGCGATTTGAGATCCGCAAGCGTTATGGCATCAAAGGAACCGATGCGAGAGACTGCTGCGCATCCTATTGGTGCCTTTCATCTGCTTTGGTTCAGCATGAGAGAGAAGTGCTTGCCCGGCAGGCTGTGAGGAGTGATCCCATCACTGAAGGCTATCAGACTCAACCTACCATGGAATTGCCTTCTACACATAATCAGCCCACTACATAGAGTTCAAATGAAATTGAGTTTTTCCGGGGTCAATATACTGGCCACGATTCCGAGGTGTTTGTAGCCTTGGCTTCAACTGACATTGGCACGTATGTGTGCGGATGAACATCGAGAGCTGGAGGTCTCTCCGTGCCTGCAACAAGAATTCGCAAGTCGACAGTGTCAATTTCTATCACAATTCAACTGAAAAGTAAATTGTCTCGTATTCTGTCTAGCATGCTGTCCTTGAGTCGTTGTCGGGATCGGCTGATATTGAACTTGATGGCCAGGGTCAACTACCAACGTCGCATGATTGCTTACTGTATCCAAGGTTGATACATCTCAGCTCAAGCTTTTAGCCGATAAATAGCTTATCGAATCTATAGTCATTCTTTAAGTGTACGTTACAATGTTTGAATTTTGGCCCGACGCAGTGACAAACAATTCCTTCGCCACATTCCGAAACCTCATGAAGCGATAGCAGTGGATCACATTGTTAATTCATTGTGTCTTATCAAGACCGACAACAACAGCAAACCGTGATTCTTTCCCGGCACATAAACCAGTTGACGTCGTTCTCGGTGGTGCCGGAATGATGGCGGTGATACTTTGAGTCAATGACCTAGTCCAGCCCCATTCTTGTATCAGGGAGTGGGTGGTCAAGGCACTCTAAACAAAGTTAATTCTGCTCCTTCATATAAAAAGCGCGCTGAAAATGCCGATCAGTCTTCAACTACACGCTGAGTAAGGAGATCTACCGCTTTTTTGATGACGGTCTTGAGTCAACATCGACAAAGTCCGATCTCTCCGTTGATATCATAATAGACTCACCTAATGCGATTCGGTTTCTCGATTGCACGATGCGATCGAGTACATAGTTCAAGGAGTTCCCGGCCGTAGAGTCGGCTGATTCAAGACATTAAGCTCGGCTCAGCTATACACTCATTTGTCCATTTCCAACTTTAAGCTGTTGCTATCGACAATGGCGGCTCGTCTGTTCTTCTCCTTCGGGATTCTGAGCACCGCGGTGCTTGCCTCCTCTCCGGAAACCGCCATGACAGCCCGCGCATTTGACTGCTCTCCGGGATCGGAAACAGGACTTAAGCCCGAGTGCTGGGCTCAGTTGAACGTGTCAGACTACATCACCAAATGGCTGGCTGAGAACGGCACCAAAGCCGACTGCGACAACCTAGGATTCGCCCAGTGTTTCTTGGCTTTCAACGGATATGGAGGCCGAACCTGCGATACCCTCACTCGCGATACGTGTGCAGCTTTTGAAACTGCCGGTGTCGACGCCGCCTACTCCTCGCCGCAACAATTCTACACTCTTTGGAACATCTACGCCATCTCTCAATTCTTCAACCAGTTCTCGGAGGCTCTTTGGAATGGCCACACCCTTGCTGCGGATACGATTGGGGACATTGTTGCTACCGTCTCCCCATCTACTGACCCTCAAGTTCCAAGCAACTTGTTGTGGACATCAATCTCTGGCGGGTTTTGGATGGCCGCCGTTGGCGCCTTTGCCAACCCCCTTTTGGCCGGCGTCGCCACTGGCATGGCTGTCGTCACAGGGATGAGCTCTTTCTTCATGTCTTCCGTGGCAGGCTCTTCCAACTCACGATTCATCACGCTGGGTGAGATCGGGAGCAGCCTTGCTCAGCTTATTATTGACTACCAAGGTAGCCTCGAAGGCGCTTTGAAGGAGCTTCAGGGCAACAGCACCCTGTTCCTGGCCGCAACAGAGCCTGGTGGTTTCAGCCAGCGTGCTGTGACCAGCTTGAACCTCCAATCCACAGAGCTCTACCACGATCTGCAACTTTACATCCTTTCTCTGTCTCTCAAGGCCAACGGCATCGTTTCCACTCGCTCGACCGGCGTCAATGCCCTTGACTACGCACCCAACACCAACGGTGCCGTCTCATGCCCTGGTCTTGGTCCCGCGGGTAACTGCTACCAATTCTGGATCGACCCGGATACGGGCGACTCGTACGCGCTGCACAACCCGAAGGACTGGAAGAACGACTATGTCGATGTGCTCAACAAGATTCACGACAAGAACTGGGCGAACCTCAGTGAGATTTTCAAGGTAGAGGATTGCCAGGGCAAAGATCCGAGCTTTGACGGAAAGACCAAGGTGACTTGCCTGGCGTCGCACGGATTTTGCGAGTGGGACTACGTTGATCAAGACACCGTCACCAAGTCCAGGACGGCCAACAAGCAATTCACCAACTGCGATAATGACAAGTCGTGGGGCACTCTTTGTGACTGGATGAACGGTGGTCTTGTGATGCCCGAGGCTTACCTCGGACCTCTCTTCAAGTTCCGGGAGCCTGCATGGTGCAGAGAGCACTAGATTCGAGGTTGACCTGCTGAGTTCGAACACAATACCCGTGCAATCATAGAGTAGTCATATCTGAATGCAATGGCGTTCGATGATAGCAACATCAAACCGGATGCTAGTTCTGATGCTAAATGCATGTATCTTTAAACATACTCTCGTGTGCAATCATCCAAAAAGAACAATACGTCTTTCATTTGCGCCTCAATTGTGAAATAGTGATGTCTATGGTAGAATTATCTCAAGAATGCTACAATTACCAAATGGTCTCGAGTCCGATGAAGCACGTGCTGACGGGATGCAATGATCACCATGAGGCAGCGGAGGAACGTGGGGAATCGTATTGCATAGACAGGGCTAGCGGAATTGCCGACATGCGGATTAGAGATTTCGCTTTCGGATTGAGAGATCTCGCATGTAGTCAATCTTGGTGTCAGCACCACGCGGATATAATACTCGACGCATCCGATTTCTATCACCTGTAATGAGACCAAGATATAAGGTTGAGCACGTACTGACTCCCACATCTGCTGTTACTGCGAACACTGTAGTATTGGTTGTAAGACTCAGGCAATTTAGATGCCACGCGGGAGAGATTCACAGCCTATATTCACTACTTGGATTCCGGTACATAAGTCAGCAGGACATTTCCATCGTGATTTGAAGATTCAGCATCGATTATAGCGAACTGTGCATATGAAAAAAATCATTCTTTTTTCCACGACATCCTGCCCAAAGTTAAGTAGTAATCACGTAAGTCGAAGGAACCGTTTGAGTGATGGACTCTACATGTATCAATCAACAAGATGACCTTCTTACTTCGTGAAACATATCTGATATACCTCAAGTATGTTACATTGCCTTTCGACGTTCCTCATCTTGGGCAACTTGAAGTTGATCAATGGACATGTGCCGTGCCTCAAAGATGCATGTGGACATTTGTAACTGCATGTCGTATGACTCCGTTGAATTCGTGCATAGAATACTTCTAACAATTTTATCCATCCTTGAATCGCTTGCCTACATCTACCTTGACCCAGACCAACTCAGACAGACTCAAGGCATGTCAAATTGGCCTCTAAAGACCATAGCTATGCGTGTCGAAAGCTACAACCTTTCCGGGCTCCGTGATCGTCCCATTGATCGGCGCTGCGAGAGACCCTCCAGTAACAACATATAAGGTCCCCTTGTCCTTGACGTTTCGTCCGAAAGCAGTGGCAGTCCCTCCAGCGACAGTCAGCTCCGTCTCTGAGCCGGCTACGACGGTGCCCTTGCTCTCGGGGGTGATGTAAACAAGTTTATCATCAATGTTGGTCACAGCCCAGATACCGCCCTTCTTGTCAAAAGCAAAGTCGTCGAGAAACGCAGCGATGGTGCTCACATCGGCAATCAGGTCAATGGTTGCCTTTGCCGCAACTCTACCCGAGCGATCAAGCTTGACCCGGAAGACCTTTCTAAAGGAGCTGTGACTCCAGTACAAATAGTCTCCGCGAATTCGCATACCATTGACTCCGATGGCCGGCACCGCTCCGGCTGCAGGCTCGAGATCTTGACCGCCCAGGATGGTCTCATATTTCTTGGCTTTGACATCGAGTCTGTACACTTTTCCAAGCGCAGACTCGGCAATGAGAACAATGTTGCTGTCCCACGGCAGAGAGACTACGCCATTCAAGAAGGCCGCCTCTGGGACGTTGACGATCTTGCTCGCCGTCGTCTTCTTGTCTGCGATGCTGACCTCCCACGCTGAAAAGGTACCGGGAACGCTGACACCGATGCCTGAGAAGTTGCCGCCTACCACTACGAACGAGTCGGTGCAAGTTTCGGTGATGCCGAGAAGGCCATTTATGTCTGAGAACCGGTGGACGAGTTCTGTTGACGGCGCCTTCTCCCACGGTTTGGCAACTTGGTAAAGCTCGGGAGAGGTAAGAAGAGGTAGGAGGAGGTTGCCATTTTTGCGGACGGCGATGTTCTCGATCCAGTTGGGCTGTTCTGGGAATTGGTAGACGATACGTGAGGGTAGGCTCTGGCCTACAGCTAAAGCAATGTAGAGAATTGAAGACGCGATTGAGCCCCGCATAGTTGCTGTGATTGTGACGGGTTATCTCTTGAAGCGATATACCACGAAGCCTCAATATGAAGAGTGAACGAACTCTTGGTGCGGTAATTGGTACGGGGTTCATTGCATTTAAATATGCCGGCTTGGCCTTGTAAATTCTCATCCATGCTAATTGAATCGATGCGTTGGCTTACAAAGTTCTTGCATCTTACACAGGGTTCTTGTTAGCTCCGGAGTTTTCGTCTTACTGAGATTGTGCAGGCGGAACACCGCTTTACATGGTGTCTAGTCCGACGTGGCCCATTAAGATCTTACAAAGTTCCCATAACAAAGCCAAGAGGTGCAGTAGCATGCACAAGCGATTGGTGATCGTTCATATCTAGCCCCCAGAAGTTATCGGCTAGAAGAATAGCGCAATCGCTTAGGAAGCTGACGTTGGAGTAAGTATTCAGCTGGGATCTTGGGTACATGTTAGAACAAGCACCAATGCATAAGCAAAGCATTAGTCCCATGCGTAGATAATTCCACGGAAATATTACCAATCGGTAACAGTAATGATCAGATCTGATTCCATTAAAATAGTCGAGGTCCCAGATGTGCTAAAAGTTACTTAATCTTAAGCTTGGTGAGTTCCACGGAGAAGCTGTAGCTGTAACTGTAGCTATAGTTTGGGTGTGGTTCTCCACGACCATCAGTCCTCCCTGTTTCCTTGCTCCATGTATCCGCAAACGAGCTCTCTCCCGCAAGCTGGTCCACCACAGACTCGGGGCATTCTGGATTGATACCTAGCTTTGCTAAGTTGGTACTAATCAAGGCCTGAAGGAGGCGGCGACTTCGCAACCGACCAGTCATACTCTCGTAGGTGTACGTTCATCGATGTAAACAGGTGATGTCATGCGGCTATCGGTATTGGTTCTGAACTATTGTTGGAAGAAGCCGTGGCGTTCGGGCTGCTGGGGCTGATGCTAAATCGACACCATGCGCTTGCTCGCCAATCGAACGGCGCCCCAAGTCACAGCGCTCTACCCCAAACAAATCTCATAACAAGGGTTAAGTCCCAAAGAGAAGATGTTGAGATCGTAAGGTATGAAGAAGAACCGGCGCTGGAAATGCCATTGAGGTTTCTCAATCAAGACCTGGCTGCGACATCGGATCCAGGCGCGCGGCTTGCATCGGGAGAGGGTCTATGTAAGTCGGGACGACGCCCTTCGTTTGTCATTAGCGCATTGGGGCCTTTCGAGTGAACCCCTCTAGGAGTCATCCTTAAGTTCGGGTTCAACGTCACATCGAAACTCTACATACGGAGGTATACTGAGCACTAATCTCATCATCCAGATGTGAAGCTGATCACTTAACAAGACATCACACTGCCCAACATGAGTAACGAACTCGCCCAAGAGCTGAAGCAGCTGCACGTCCCCGCATCGCCCGTCATCTTCACGAACGTCTGGGACCTCGCCTCCCTCAGCGCGATCATCTCGCTAAACACCACCGACTCAAAGCCCGTAAAAGCCATTGCGACCGCATCATGGGCCATTGCAGCAACAGTGGGCGTCAAAGATGAGGATCTTGAGCTAGAGCAAAACATGGCCGCGATAGGTCAACTCGCGCCCGCCGCCAAAGCTGCCGGCCTGCCACTCTCCGTCGACCTCCAAGACGGATACGGAGACCTCATTGACGAGGTCGTGACGGAAGCAGTCACACTGGGTGCGAACGGTGCCAACATTGAAGACAGCATTCCGTCAGCCGGGTTCGAGAAGGGCATCGAGGGGTCCCTCTACGGTTTGGAAACGCAAGCCGCTCGCCTCAAGAGCGCCTTGGAGGCGGCTCGCGAGGCCGGATGTCCTGACTTTGTCCTCAACGCCCGGTGTGATGTGTTCCGCCTCGAGCCGTACTACGCGGCCGACGATGAGAGTGCCCTGGCGGAGGCCGTGAAGCGGGGTCGAGCGTACTTGGAGGCCGGGGCAACGACTGTGTTTTTCTGGGGTGGTTCGGGACGCGGACTGCGGTCATCGGAGGTTCAGGTGCTTGTAAAAGAGCTCGGTGGGCGGGTCGCTGTTAAGCTTGGGGATCGGGCGGACTCTTTGTCGACGAAGGAGCTGGGGGAAATTGGGGTCGCTAGGATCAGTGTGGGACCGAGTTTGTACCTTGTGGCGATGAACGCGGTGAAAGAGTCGGCGAGGAGGATCTTGGATGGAGGGAAATTGGCAACTTGAGAGCTTTTGATGCGGAAGAAAGCTTGAAGCATGTCACAGGGCACCAACAACGCGGACAAGACCAAGCTGTTTGTCAACTAAGTTTGTTACATGGCGCACCTTTCTATGAAGCAAAAGTTTTGTAAACCGATCCAAGAAGTATGTTTTTGAAGAAGACTCGAAACAGTCCTGCCTCAGTCAATATGTACAAATCATTTCAGTGGCCTCCAGAGGTCTCTTCCTTATGTTTAAGTAATCAAATACCCCATCTAGTTGATGGCGGCAGGGGGCTGCTGGCCAGGCAGAGGGATGCTCTGCGGGTGAGCGGTGAACATACCCTCAGGGTCGTACACGGCCTTGATCTCCTGCAACTTGGCGTAGTTCTTGCCATACAGGCGCTCGCTCCACTGGTCAACGGTGAGAGCCGTGTCGCGGTAGTTGACGAAGCCACGCAGGGGCACGCCCTCGGCGGCGAGCTGGTCCTTGAAGGGCTGGAAGCCGTTCTGCATGTAGCTCAGGCCGTCGGCGGGGAACTCGGTCAAGCCGGTGGCGAGACGGCCCTCCCAGCGGATGAGCCACAAGCTGTTGGCGTGGGCGAAGGAGGTGTCATCGTCCTTCAGAGCCTTTGTGGGCTTGCCGCCCCAGAGGTCAATGAAGCCGAACTTTGTGAGGTCGGTGCGGTTGAAGGCCACAGTGGTGAAGTTGTAGAGGGCGGTGGCGGAGGCCTTTGTGAAGGGCTGGTCCTCGCGGAGGACGAGGGCCTGGAGGTAGAAGTTGCGAGGGGGGAAGGTGTCGATGGGGGTGTCGATGGAGGGAGTGGCAACGTTCTCGACGGCCCAGAAGTCCTGGACGGTGCGGGTGAGCTGAGTGCCGTTAGGGAGCTTGGCCATGAGGGGCTCAAGGAGCTTGTCAAAGTCCTCGGGGTTGCCCCAGTAGAAGCCGGAGCCGGTGTAGGGAGGGGCAGTCAGGGACCAGCGCATGGTGAGCTCGTCGGGCCACTGGCCGGAGAGGTAGTGCTCCTGGATGGCGAGGAGGGAGTCGACGCCGGCGGAGAGAGAGCTGTCAGTGAGAGTGATGGTGTAGTTGATAGCCTGCTGGTACGTGGGCTTCCAGGTCTTGGTGGTGAGGCTCAAGATGATACCATAAGAGCTGCCGGCGCCTTGCAAGGCCCAGAAGAGCTCGGGGTTCTTGGTGCGGGAGGTTTCGACAATGGTGCCGTTGTAGAGCATGTAGGTGGCGCCCTCAAGATAGTCCATGGGGGTTCCGAGCATGCGGGACAGGGAGCCGAAGCCGCCTCCGATGGAAGAGCCGATCAGGCCGACCATGTTGGCGCGGACGTGAGGGAACCGGGCGCCGTGCTCCTTCCAGAGCTGGCTGACGACGGGGCTCACGAGGGAACCGCCGCCGTAGGTAAGCAGACCGGTGGCCTCATCATACTTGGTCTCCTGGAAGTGAGTCATATTGATGGTGAGTCCGGCGTTGGGCAGACTGTACGAGCCGTAGCAGTGGCCGCCATCACGAGCCGCGACGAGAACCTTTGCCTCCCGGGCACAGGCGAGAGCGGCGGCGACCTCATCGGTGGTGCGCGGCCAGGCGACGCCGGCCGGAGTGGGGGCGATGCGGCGCTGCCATGGGAGGATGTCGGTCGGGAACGAGGCGTTAGTCTCGGGGAATGATGTGAGGAGGCCGGCCGTTTCGAGGCAGGTCTCTAGGCCCTGGGCCTGTGTGCATGAAGCGAGGGATGCCGTCGCAAAAGCGGCGAGGCTGAAAAGACGGACCATGGTGAATGAATGCAGCAGAAAAGGAGAGACTGAAGTTGGAATGGCAGAGCTTGGAGGCTTCCAGAGAGCACCACTTCCTGAAATCCACGCACTCGGGGCTTTGCTTTATATCTCATCTCCTCTGCTCAAATCCCCCCTAATTCCCAACGTTCTATGATGATTTCTTGGCATCATCTAGATGCACCACGCCGCCGGGCAGTTCTACCGCAAGTTGTAACGGAGGCACCCGCTCGCGTCGAGCTCGGCAGCACCGGACACCGGATGAACTGCTGCGGTGGTATTGGTAAAGGGGTTCAACAGCAAAAACGCTCGCCCGCAAAGTGGCCCATCATGCCTACTGCAATAAAGTTGCAGAAACCTTTTTAGATTGTTTCCCAGCTTTTCTGCAGATAGAGTTCGGCTTAGAATCAGGGATGATCCGCGTCGCTGGGCTCGCGGAGAGGGCGTTGTCAAGTGCTCGAGTCATTGACTTTCGGGAGGAACTGAGCAGCATCAAGAATTTCTGCTCGCTGTGAGGGGCTTGTGGTCAACATAAACAGAGAATCCCTCCAAATTGTTGCCTCACTATCCGTGCCGCATGCAGAAATACAGCGAAGATCGGACACGCTCTTTGCTGTATGATGCTCTTTTGCCCAAGTACACCGCACTCGGGACGGGGGCACAAGGGTAGTTTCCAGGCGGCTCAAACATCGGCGCACTGCCACGGAGCATCGCGGTGCCAAGACAGACTATCCCCTGGGACATATTGCAGGATGGAATTGTAAGTTTTTGGGGGATGAGAGAAATCAAATTTCGCACCATACACAGTGTCGCGATTCGCCGAATTCTCTCCCCAAGCGTGTTCCATCCATCTGGTCTGATGGCGGAGCATGTCTTGGAAATTTGGCCGTTTGGATGAAGGTGAGTGCCAAGGCAACTCAATGAGATGAACTTGGACAACTCGATACGCGTATTGAACCATACAGGAAGAGCCCTACTTATGGGATTGAACACTGACAATAATAAGGGCAACTCATGGTTGTTTTCCATCGCGTCATTGACTTTCAGGTTACGAGACGCGTGCTTGACAGCAACTCCACACCTCAAGGCCCAGAGAATATAGGCGCGCAATTTGCTCGGCCAATCACAGAACAATCCACTCTGCATAAGGTTGTATAGTGTAGCGGTTATCACTCCAGATTTTGATCGTATCAAAGCTTCTGGTAACCCCGGTTCGAACCCGGGTACGACCTCATCCTTTTGCTTTTTGTCTCTCTTTAATTCCCGCCAAGCTGTAATGCTAACTAAGTATGATGTTCCAAATGTTTGTGAAGCTGTATCTTATACTTTTACGTCATTATGGCTTAACTTCAGTCTAGATAGGTGGTTGTCAACGAACTCGTCTGTTCTTCATTGATACTTTACGACAAGCTGCGAAGCTCCATGGTTTCATCGCATACTTTTATTGGTTATTTCACCGAGGTAACTCTGCCTTTCACTCCCACCAGTAACTTTAACCACTTGAGAGGCCTGCCTACTCATTTGATACGCTACGCCTCCTCACGTCGTCTATTGATTGATACCCCCATCACCATTCAATCGTCACCTTATCGTGCGCGGGACAACTCAAGACCTAGCGTGTGCGATCGGAGCAGGCATGTCGAGCTTCTTTCGGTCTCTGCGACACGACTTGCCGGAGCATCCCTGCATCGACCTCGCACAGAGGTCATCCAGCAACCAACACTCCCACGGGATGGCACATCGTTCCCGTCTGGCATTCATGCATCACAATCTTGACTCGGGTGAGCGATAGAGCTGTTGGTGATGCGCGGGCATCCAACCTAAATGCACTGACGTCGATACCGACTACTCGGAGCCGATGTGTGACAGCTTGTCTAGTCCGGCAAGGCAGATTTGTCAATAGCTCGTATAGTTGCAGCCGATGCAGTGTTGAACGTGGGGATAATGTTTGGGAATATGCATGTTTCCTATTACCCCTGGAAGTTGTCGAGCGGAATGACCAAGTGTTCTGGAGATCAAGTCAGTCCTGGGGGTAAGCTTAAAGGCAACTTGATGCGCATCGTTCTCTGATCTTTCAGCATCTGCGAGCTTCCTTCGCGAGCCTTTGCCATCTCATCCATGTGTTTCGTTGTAAACACTCATATTTTTGGTTGAAGCAAGCCCGGGACGCTGCTTCATATCCGGAATGACACACTTCAAGTCCTCGAAACCCAAGTTCGAGCCAGAACACGACAGATCAGCAAGCAAGCATCCGCCGAGCTACTCCCAGCGACTTCAGCAAGGACTTGGCTCTCTCGGTCTCGCAACAATAGGCGGCGGCACCGCTTTGGTACTCGCACTCCTAGGTTTCCTCCTATTTTTATGGACCGGAGAAGGTTCGCAAGACGGCAAGACAGCCACAGCCCTGTGGCGATGGGTCATGCTCAACCAGCACATTACGCAGGCCATCACTCTATCAACAGTCTTACTTCGCATAGCAGTAACAGCACAGGCATCCATCTACACAAGCCTCATCGCGGGTGTTGTGTTAGAGAAGCACGGCGTTCCTCTCTTCCGAGTCGCTGAGATATCCATAATTCGGTGTACAAACGACGGGCCGTTCCAACTGACTTGGCTACTCATGACATCTGCACGAAAAGCCTACATGCCGACCGGGTTAGCAGTTTTGCTATTGCTCACGACCTTTGTTGTTCAGTTCTCATCGACGCTCCTGGTGTCTGATTTGGGTATGAATGATCTTGTGGGTGACGCCAAAGCAAGGACACTCAACGTGCATATGAGCCGCGATGTCATCTCGCTGAATCGGCAGATGAACAACTGGATCAGTCGCCCGACCGCATATGTGCCATTTGGAGAGTCCCCTTCAGAGTCAAACACGACGTTAAATATCCAGTCGAGCTTCACCGATACTGGCATCGTACAAAGAACTTTTCTGCCCCTGTCAACGTCGCAAATGTCTACGCTGCGCCACTACACCGGCGGTGTCTACGGCTTTGAGTCGCGCTTTGTGTGTCTCCGTCCGTCGGTTTCCGCCTTTCTTTCAGTGACTGTTCCAGCACCGGGCTCGGATACTGTTCCTTTCTACCTGAACGTAGCGGGCGGTTTATCATATGAGACCATGTTCCGCGAGGCAGGTCTATTACCTCCAGAAAACTGCGAAAACGGGAGCTGTTTTCCATCAGCTTTTAACTGCTCGCTGCCTCAATTTCAATACACCGAAACGCAGGCACGGCAGGGCTTTACCAACAGCTTGTGCATTCCGAATGGCACAGCCGCGCGACCGAGTGCTCAGAATCATACCATCTCGGACGATCCCATCACGGCATACTCTCAGGTGTTCCTATTCTTCAGAAATAATGGCACCCACGATCTGTGGAAAGGACCGGAAAACCGCGTCCTGGCGGGAACATTTGGTTTGAACAATGTTTCTTCTACTGATGGTGAATGGCTCACGTATAATCGTCCAATTGGGGGAAGACTTCCCAAGGGGGAAAGAGTTGAGACGGGCGTATTGAGGCTGGATATGTCCCTCTGCTTTCAACAACTGGCATTCAACTTTGCGCATGTTAAGCTTTCTAGCAAGAAGGACCTGAAGGAGTCGCAAGTAACTTGGAATCCGAGGACCAAGGCCTGGAATACGAACAAGATCCAGAAACTCATGGGCGTTGGAGCCCACGGCAAGAGCGCCAACAGCCGCGGAATCTTCTCGCTGGATTCAGTACAAACCCCATGCCACCTAAACGCGACGCAATACTTAACCAACAAGCTCATTAACGACTTGTACAGCTCGCCGCGAACGTTTAACCTTTCTCTCTTCATGGATCCTCAGGGCAGCGGAAACTCTCCCATCAAGCCACACGTCGAATACCAGGCTATCTTTGCCGACATTCTCAATGTTACCAATCGTCCCGGCGTAGCGATGCAGTCTACCCTCACAGCTCTCTCGGGTTCTATCATCAACGAAGCCCTCCCGCAGTTCGACGTCCAGGCCAACGCCATCATGACTTCTTCGGTGCGTGTGATGACCCCAAAGAGCCTGCGGGGTTTGCTCATCATCTTCGGTGTCATGGCCTTGAACATGGCTTGTGGTCTTGCCGTGGTGCTTGTTTTCATGTTTCAGAGTCGGTACTCTAGCCAAGGGAACTACTGGCAGGCTGTGGCCCAAATCGTGTCTGATGAGACGGCGTGGATTCTAGAGGGGGTTACTGACGCAAGTGATGGTCATGTCGAGGATGAGGTAAAAGGTTCGAACAACCTCGTCTGTGTTAGTCGTTCAGATAGGAGTGGACGGGTGCGTGTGGCTCCATTTAAAGCTGTATAGCATACGTCAATGATATCGATGTGAGAGTCACTTCAAGCATAGCTGTATGGATTGACCGTTCTATTTATTTCAAGAGAAAGGGGCTATCAGTCACTAGTGACACACTGAGTTACGGCCTGACTCTAGATCCTATCTAGAACCCTGCTGTTCTTGCGGTCTACTGCCATAAGATTCAGTTGGCTCATTGCAGGTGAGATCTAGGTTCATCGTGTTGGCAAGATGTACAAGTAGCATTAAGCGCGATGGATCACGGACACACTTCAAAATTCACGTGGATCAGGCACAAGTAGATGTAGGGCCAAGTTGCTGATAGTATTCAGATGTCTGCCCGTATTCTCATATACTCTTCAAATCATTTCCCTTTCACCTCTCCCCCTTTTTGTACTCTCCCCGCTATGGCACATCCTTATTAGAGCCATCCCGCTTTGACTTCATTACTTCTCAATAAGCGAAAGGACTTCAAGCATAGAACCTGGTCCAAGTATTAAAAATTGTAATGAGTGTGCGTCTACTCGTCATCGTTGATGTCGATGACGGTCTTCTTCCACTGGCGGGCAGGGATCTTGCGCTTAAACATAATGTCGATCTCGCGGAAGGAACGGCCCTTCATCTCAGGCAAGAAGAAGAAGGCGACGACGAAGCAGACGAAACCAGTGGCGCCCCAAACGTAACCGCACTTGCCGCCCAAGTTGACACCCTGTTGCATATGTTAGTAAATATGATTCCCTTTCCAAGGTGAGAAAGAGGGCTTACGGTAGAGTTAAGCATGTAGGTGGCGAGGAAAATGCAGGGGATGTTGACAACGTAGTAAGCGGCACGGCCGATACCAGTGGTCAAAGGACGAAGGCGAATGGAAGATGTCTCGGCGATGATGACCCACGAGGCGGGGGCGGGTCCGAGAGTGAAACCGACGGAGACAATAAGACCCAAAGAGGCCATAGCCAAGGAGGCGGCGGTGGACTTGCCGACGGAACCAGCAATACCGAGGGCAATGAGGAAGGCAACGTTGATGAGCGAACCCCAGACGTAGATAGTGCGGCGGCCGAGGTAGGTCGTGAGAACCCAGGAAAGCATGACGAAGACGGTCTGGAGAGCGGAGGTGATGAGACCGAGGGCGAAGGCAAGCTGGGAGCCAATACCGGCCTCTGCTTATGTGTTAGCCACCACATGACATGAGAAGGGAAGAAATGAGAACTCACGTCTGAAGAAGTAAACAGCCTGGTTGGCGATGAGGTTACCAGTAAGGTTCTGGGCGGCGTAGACACCACAGACGATAAGAGTGCGGTATCTGTCAGTGCCCTTGAAAAGCTCGACATAGCTGGGATCCTTAACGTCCTTCTCAAGCTCAATGGTACGACGCATCATGGCGACGGACTCCTCAACGTTGGCAACGGCAGATGAACGTCCAAGACGACGGACCGAAACAGCAGCCTCCTCGAGACGTCCCTTGCGAACCAACCACCAAGGAGACTCGGGGGCAAGGAACAGAAGGATGGCAAGGGGGGTGGGGAACATCCATTGGAGGGCGATCGGGACTCTGTACGCGCTAGGGTCTCTCTTGCTCTCGTAAACGTAGCAAACACCACCGACGATGATGGCACCGATGGCCCAGAACATCTGAAGCATCTGAGTGGCGGGGGCTCTCAGGCGCATGGGCACGATCTCAGAGCAGTAGGCGGGCGCGTTGGCGATGAAGATACCCCAGGGAATACCCTCGAGAAGTTGGCTGACGAACATGACAGCAAGCGAGTTGGCGAAGTAGAAGACGAAGATGAAGGCGTTAAGGAACATGAGGCCGGAGATGGTGGCCCAGCGGTATCCGATGCGACTGGTGATGGGACCGGCGATACAGACACCGATGATGGCGCCGAGAGGACCACCCATCTGAAGGGCGGATTGCCACGAAGCCTCGATCTGCTTGCCGTCGTCCGCTTCGACACCGAATGTGTCCTTGAACTCGTCCATGGCGACGAAAGCACCCATCAGGAAGACGCAGTAGGATTCCATGATCTGGAAAACCATTGTGGTTAGTTGCCAGTCGTCTAATTTGTGTGCAACAGGCTAAGGCGGCTAGAGTGACTTACAATCGTGGTAGACATGATGAAAGCCCAGAGGGAGGCCATGGGGTAGGCCTTGACGGCCTCGATGACTCCCATGTTGTGCTCGGCCTGCTCAGCCTCGATAGCATCGGCCTTGTAGGAGGCGGGCGACGCCTTCTCGTCGAGGTCGGCGACATGGTCAATGTCGCCGTAGGCCTCGACCTTTGCCGGGTCGGACTTGGAGTCGAGTGTGGTGCTCATGTTTGCTGACTCTCTTTTCGAACCTCGCCGAGAATTTGGAGTTGGAGGTTTTTTTTTGGCCGGGTTGCTTGGTGAGGAGGAGGAAGAGGGGGACGGGGGAACGCGAGCAAGCAAGAACAGAGAAGAGACGAAAGCCAAGAGAGAGAGGGTGGTACTGGGCAGGCTGTTTAATAAAGGTCTTGTCTTACTCCCCAGTTCTCGTTTTCTTACATGTCCAATGGAACATTGTCTTAAGAGTTAACCCCAGTCGGGTGTCATTACGCTAGCGCAACTTGAACCAACGCGAACGTATGGAAAAAGGTGGACGGGGATCTGAATCCCACAAGGAATCCTCACAAGCGCAATCTGGGCACTTTGGGGTTCCCCAAACGTCCTCAACCCCGCCCCCCGCATTGGTCCATAGACCCGTTCCCACATGAGCCTGGGGAATGGGGAAGAAGGGCGGGTGACACTCTGGGGATCGAATATCGGCTGATGATGAACCGAGCCCGGTCAGATATTCTCCTATGCGCCGACGCGCTCCAATGGGGGTGGGAGGTTGCTCAAGGTTTTTGGAGAAACGGCGCAGTTGGACCAGTTAGGGACACTAGTCAGGGTCCGGCAAACTTATCCCATCGGCCCTTTCACCAACGGGGACCTTGTCACAAACTCGGGGCTCTTTTCGCTCTTGGGGTTAGTTTCCTGACTTCCCCAGTACGCCGCGTTGCTTAACTTGCTTGGCTGCTTGGATGGACGCGGCTCCTTAGCTCCCCATGTGACCGCGGCGGCCACTTACTGAAACGGCGAGTTGTTAAACTAAGTAGTTTCTCGACGTCTTCCACCCTCCATCATCGGCTCTCATTAGGGCGCGTCGTAGCACACCCGTTGGACCGCCGAGATGGGGAAAGGCGTAGCCGCCTGTAGGAACGCCGCCGCACCGCGTCGCGAAATACGGGTTCAGCCGCCCCCCTCTTCGGTATCTCGGTCAACACTGGGCCGCTTCCCACCGAGCATTCATGTTGTGTTTGTAGCCGCTGCAGATGCAATGGACAACGAGTCCCAGGCCCAGTTCGCTCTCTCCAACGTTCCCCAGTGATCTCCCTTCGCTTCTACAGCTGAACGTGTCAACGTGGTCTCAGACCATGGTCCATGTCAGCAACCAAGCGCTAGTTCTCCGCGAAATTAGCGTCCAATGCAGTCAAAATGCACACCCGTTCCACCCAGCTGCGAGATCCGTCTCCACGGGTCCGGGGCAGAGACAAAGACCCAATAGCTTAATCAGGTCTCCTCAAAAGACACGAGGCGGACGAACCAGCCTGACATTTGGAAGCCGCCCGACCTTCGAGCTGAGGCGCCTTGCGCGCTCGAGGTTCCCGGGAAACCGGCAAGGGTTACTTCACATTGGTGCCAACCGAGCCAATGATGTCCAAGGTGTCACCCAACTTGGTGATATTACCAATTTTGCAAAAGTAAAGGGGCCAATGGAAATTTGAGAAGAGAGGCTGGAACGCGTTTGCGGACATCGCCTTGCGGATACTCGTGCCCTTTCCGGCGATACCAGTAACGTGGCACCGGGGACGATCACGGCGTCGAGAAAAGTCGTGCCATAGTCGCGCTAAACCGCGGTGATTTCAGCTTCATGTTGATAAACTTCTTGTTGAGAACTCCACAAAGGCCTGACATTGGCTCGGTTGCAAGACGCGCCCGTTCACAGACAGCCGTGATGATTTGGCTGGATGGCTTCTAGAAAATGAGTTCAGTATGGCTCGAACCAACACTTCGGTTTGCGCTGGTCATCAAATTCGTTGGAACTCCTCCCACTTGTATCGACCTAGCCGCTACTATTGGATCTATATTGGGAAAGATGTACTGTGTACAGGCTCGAGGACGGGGCAACATCATGTCTGCACATTTTGATTCTAACAAGAGTATCAGGTGAACTGTGTGGGGAATAGTCAGCTTTCAATGCGTGATCTCAGCCGATCATGATGGAGTTTAAGGCTTTGAGGCATAGTAAAATTACGTGCAGTCGTTACGCGTATGTTTGATGTTGCATTTGGCTGAACAGAAGATGGTTATTCGCCTGAACCTGAATGGTCCCGTGACGAGGTTTTTCTTGCAATCTGTGTAACAGCGCTCTACCCCTCATTGAGTTCACATTAGCATATGTCTGATAGATATTGCATGCCCTCTTAATTGGCACGTTTTCCTCCGCAAGGTGTCATGTGAGATGCCGAGATCCGCATTGTTGGTCACGGTGCACCAATTGTCCTGCAGCACGGCACATTGGGTGCAAAGACCACGTTGTCAGTCTCCCACCAGGGTATTCCAAAGAGTAAATGTATCCGTACGTTAGCTCACATCAACTTTAGGCTTGAACTTCGCGTAAACTAAACGATGCTGTGACTGGTGGGGTTGGATCGTGGGGATACACGCTAGGTCAGACATATTCCAGATATGGGGTTGGCCCGATGAAAAAGATTTTGTTGATATTTCGGCTGCCTCCACGATACCGAAAAGACATCGGTCCCCCGGGTCTGGGACCGTCTGGCCAACTTGGTCTTTCCCAGTCTTGACGCTAACGTAATTATCTTTGAGTTCCTGGGGCCTGCAAGAAAATTATCGCTGCCAGGGTTCTTAGCGTCGATATATCCACAACCCACAGCCCACAACTCAAAACATCGTGAACTTGTGAAGCGAGTTCGGCTCGTGATCATGCCCACACCAGCACGTGCACTCTTCCACCTGCAATCTTAGGAATAGCGGTGCCGAAAATCGAGCATCCACTTCCAGGTTCTCGGGTCTCCGAGGATCTACATCACGGAAGGGTGGCCGAGTTGGTTATGGCGCCAGGTTAAGGTCAGCTTAACATCTGTTTCCTGGTGGGGCAACCCGCGCGAGTTCGAGTCTCGTCCCTTTCATTTTGATGTCTATCTACATTATGAGCTTTTTTGGTTGCACAAGACCTGTTGATAGCTGACTGACTGGTGTGGCTTAGGTGCCACGCAGGTGGTCTAGAATCTTTCCTGATTGCTGTGAAAACGGATCATAAGCTCGATCGACGGTGTCGGTATTTGTAATTTCATGTTATTTCTAACGCTAGGAAATCAGTCTAGACTGGTTCTCTGTATGTGGCTGGATTCAGGATGACGGCAGTGAAAAGGCGGGTCACTCAGACTATGAATCCTTTTCACTCAGGACCCGTGTCTACTGGCTTCTGTCCAACCCACGAATAATACGTGCCATACGCATGCACATTCGGATCCTTGATCGCATTCCGAACTGACGCGAGAAATACCTCGATCTCCGTTCGCTCCATTCCCAGAGCCGCCAAAGGTTTGCTCGCAGCAGCGCCCAGGAAATCCTCCGTCACAGAGCGCATGTAATGTCCAACCAGACGCTTGGTTTTGTCGAGAGGCCATCGTCCGACGGGCACCTTGTATGATCTCACTTGAACATTGACGAAGCCGGCGTCTTTCATAAGCGCACCGATGCGCGGAGCGACTTGGATGTCAATCTTCATTTTGTGCATGGCGTCGCGGATCTTGGACCAGAATTCCAGAAGGGGCCAGTCTTCGGGCATGGTTCCGTCATCGCACTTCACATTGGCGCTGAAGTCTTGGGTTTCGACGTATGATCCAGGCTTAAGGTTTCTGTAAGGCGTGGTTCATGAGCACGATGTTGCACTTGACTTGATTCCCCATCATCGAGGATGAAATGACGAGTTCGGACTCACTCGAAGACTCGCTCCAAGAGCTTTGGGAGATCATGCACAAGAGATGCCAAGTTTCGCATATGTATAAGATCGAAATTGTTTCCGGACTAAGGAACATCGCTCATTGTCAGCGACAGCACCCTCCTCCACTCTAAAGACTTGATCTCGCCAGACGGTAGAGCACTTACCAACCAGTCATCTTCAACATCATCAACGAAGAAGCGAACGTTGGAAGGAACCCTATACGCTAGATCAGAATATCATGGCCATTAGAGGACTAAGTGGACATACCAGCTTGGCTGAATCGGCGATAAGTCTACACCAGTAACCTCGGCGGAAGGGTAGTTGTCCCCAACTTGGAAAAATCAACATTGGGATCTTACTCTTGATTATCACCCTTCGGAATTTGTGTCACACACCTTCCATTGCCCATATGCCTGTAGACTTGTTCAGTATGTCTGTGCGATATCTACATGTACGGATGCCACCTTCAAGCCGGCACAAAGTCTGGGACAACACTTACCGGTGCCCGTGCCGAGATCAATAATCTTGCTGGGCGAGTCGCCAATAGGGGCATGGAACAGCTTGCCATCAGTGAGCTCCATAACCATCGCATGCTTCATTTCCTCGCGGTTTTGTTCAATATCATCGTTTGGAATGGGATATCTCCCATCCCGGAATGAGTGATAGCTTTGATCATTCAACCTGATAAGCGTCTGACCAATTGTATCTAATGATCTCAACTCTTATGGTTCTGCTTGCGAAACTTACCGTCTGCCATTTTCATAGGAATGTCTCAAGACAGACGAGGTAATGGAAGTCGAGCCCGATGAGGAAGCATCCCACTCGGTAGGCTGGAACGCATCGTCGCTCACATCATCGCCACCAGCTTCGATAATATCTGGCGCTTGCTCTGGGGATTGCGCCGAGTCTCCGCCTTGCGGCACTGGTTCAGGACTGGCACTCATGGAGTGCTGGTGATGGGCTCTATTGATTCAAGGGGTACTGGAATATAACTTTTGTTTGCATGTAGTTGTCGTTAACCGAGAGTCCGAGACTAACTATGCGGTCTTTGCCGTTATCGTACGCCTACTGACAGCCAAGCGGGGAAAGTGTGAGATCTCGGTCCTCCAGCAAAAAGTGGCGTAACTAGGGCCTGATGGTGGCTTGCGGAGCGGGCGTTGCAGTAGCTCCATGCTTGGAGATACACTGCTCTATGATTGGTACGCCTGGATCCAGTTGGTGGCAAGATGTCTCATTGCTCGAATTGCCCTCATTGGCGGTCTTCTCACTGAAAGGTCCTTTGAGATGCGCCCGGGCGGTTGCGTGAACGTGGTGTTTTGACTCTTTGGAGCAGCCGGGGGAGACTAGAGACTCACGATCATCTAGCAACTCATACTTGAATAGAATGTAGATTCATGGTTTCTCTCATTTTAAAGTTGAGATGAGTTTTGGAGCTTGCTATTCTCTCCCTCTGGCAATCTGTGCCCGCCGCCCTCCGTCAAAAGGTTTGAATGATCTCCAACTTTCTGTCTTATTCAAGCCGCCTCGTTCCCTGTCCCTCTTACGCTCCGTTCTCCCCATTCTCTTGGGGCCGCCGTGATAAACTCCACTCCGGCCTCGGTCCGGTCCTGGGGTCATTCCATATCGCCATGCCCGGCTCCCGGCTTACTCCGGCGAGAAAGTCTGCATGCTCACAACACTATCACCGTGACGCTCTGTCTTACAAAGTAAGGTGATTTTCGAAAATTGAGCGATTCTGTCTCGCGATGATGTGTATCAGCTTAAATGTGACTGTGGTCAGTTCAACGCACGGTACCAACGCCAAAGACCTTGCTTTCAAGCGAGTTCTGCCACTTCAGTCTGCCATGGCTTGGCTGCATTAGTCAGTAAGATTCTGCACAGAATCGCATGCTTAATAACGGGTGCTCCCGACATGCCTGTCGTGTATGTCGGAACTTGGCCAAGATGATCCGAGTCATTGATGGTTTGGGGGGAAACGCTAGAAGGAAGATGCCCAGCACCGCCCGGAGACAAATTAGCCGGTGTCTGCCGATTCACGATCCTCCATCTCCATCGTCGATAATTACTCACGACGCGATCAAAAACATCAAAGTTGGATCGCGAAGCTGGCTTCAGCCATAATGACATCCGTCTGGGGACTTGGCGCAGTCTGTCTCGATCAGACATCTTTACATCAACGCTCTGCGTATCTATACGCAACTATGCATGACAGAGACTTCACGCCTAACGCATCTTTGCGGAAGGCTACTGAAATTTTCACAATGAGCACTCAGCCGCAGGTCTAATAACATAGAAATAGCAAGGCGATGCTGCTGATGGATGAATTATTGTCAACAATTTCCGTCCACACACGGCCTGTCACCTCCGTACTTAAAAAAAGTTGGTTAGGTCGCTTCGTCTTTCTATGTTGCCTCCCATCCCTGAAATAACTACAGCAAACCTCTCTCAGCGATTATGGTTAGCTACCTATTATTGACATGGTTGACACGGAAGCGAATACGGCAGACCTTCTCCTCTTGCATGTTGACCGCAACATCCAAACACGCCCAGGATTTTCAAGATTCAAACAATAATGAGACACATATGCCCATCCGGAAATGGCTCCCAAAAATATGTCTGTTGCCTGTCCCCGCAGCGCTTAAAACTGAGTAGGTGACATTGGGAGACTGGGGGTGTTGAAGCGGTTTCAGGCCCGATGGATCCAGCAGTGCTGACGGCAGGTCAGTGTCTAGCGTATTTACTTTGCTTTTCTCAGCGGGCGTTGGGGGATCTGTTGTCAAGGTTAGTAGCCTGCAGCAAACCCTCGCGAAGAGCTGGTGCGTACGATTCCAGCACCCAACATTAAGATTCAAGGCGAGGGCAAATAAGCAGACAGCTTAGTTCTTCAACTTTTAAGTATGACCGAAAACCTTCGGTAGAGTTCGTTTCCGTCCAATCAATGAAGCGAGAGTTCATGCAATGACCACTTGCCGCTTGACTTGTGAGCTGAGAGTCATGCCAGTGACACTTGTCATACCATGATTCCCGATGTCAAAAGAAGTTTTGCGACACGGGTGAAGAGATGGGATGAGTTCGTTATCCGATGGGGAGAGCCTCGGAAGAAGACGAGTCAATCAGGGACCCGATCGAACTCCAAGACCTTATTGTTTTGGTCGCGGTGTTTGGGATCACCAGGGGATCATCCAGCAGAATCTCTGCCTGGTTGATGAGCATCAAGGCCCATATTCAACTTTGCTCATCCCTCATGAAGTAACGCCCGCCTTCAAACGATCCTCCTCTCTAAGAAGCATGGAGTCAAAGGAGTAGCACGACAGAAGTGGGCACGGCCAGAGCTGCTGCCGTTCGAAAATTGGTCCTCCAACGTCTGAAAAATAAGCTTGGCAGTAAGATACAGGGGGTCGTGAAACTCTCTTGGGGATGGTGGTGGGGTCAAATTGCTCGGAGCTTTGCCGCCGTCATGGGCACAACCTTTGATTCTTTGTGAGGTACCGCAGAGTCCGATGAAGAGACGACATGGAGAGATCCAGGACCCTGGCTCGCATTCTCAGATACTTACCAGCTGGTCTTCAAGTTCGGTAGACAACTCCGGCTTGGTTGGGCTGACGACCAGCTGGATCGCTCTGGCCCCATCTTTCAGGCCCCCAGCCCGCCGTGCACACTCTTGAGTCGATCATACTGATCCTCGCCTCCTTCACCAGCCCCAACTCGCCCCCCTCAGCGTCCTAACGGCGCCTCGCGAGGCTCAAAGTTGTAACGACAGGCGCCCATTCAGGGGCTTCCCTGTCGCTTCTCACCAGATCCGGTCGTAATGTGGCTTCCCGATCAGGCCTAGGAGATGCAGCCGCAACATCTTGGCAGCTTCATCGCACCCATGCGTCACGAACTTCAGACCTCCTTCGACGCGGTGTCGCCATCGCTTCCATAATCCATCTTATCCATCACGGCGGAAAACCACCAAGAATCTCCGTGACGTTGACGTCTCAACCCGCCCCGTCTCCAACGCCCCATGTCATCCCATGTTGGCCGCCGCATGCAACCTAGTTTTGGCCCTGGTCTGAAGTTTTTTGCAACTGCGACAGCTGGGCACTCGGGCCCAGGGGCGATGTCGAGAGCATCATATCACGAGAACGATGGCAAGGAGGAAAGAAGGATGGCGTAACATGGGGACGCAAGCATGCCAATGCATCGATGCAATATCACCCATACCCTAATGTGAACGGACTGGCAGATCGTCTGAAATATTCTATAAAGATCAGCTCGATCTTCCTCTTAGTACCGCTTCTTCTTTCCTTTCCTCATCACGCTCACAATCATTACAACTTTGTTTGTTCTTTCTTCTCTTCTACAACAGCTGTGCTGTCTTCTATCTCTTCCAACGCATCTTGATCACTCATTTCACTTCATCCGGGTCCGTGTCCCTCTTTTCGCATTACATAACATCGACTTCTTTCTCAAAGAACAATCTTTCGACTCTCAATATGAAGTTCTCTTCCGTCATCACTCTCGGCTTTGCTGCCCTCGCCACCGCCGCTCCTCTCGGCGCTCGCCAGGCCACCGTCTTCTCTACCCAGACCTTCAACGACCTCTCCATCAGTGGCGGCACTGCCGGCAACGCCGAGCAGGAGGCTCTCGACAAGCTTTCTGGTCTCCCCACCGACCTCAGCACCGTCGCCAAGGCCGACTTGGACTTCCTCAACAGCGTCAACTCCATTGCCAACGACGCCGAGAAGGAGGCCTTCAACCCCGCCATTGAGGCTGCCACCGGCGAGGAGGCCGACGCCCTCCAGCGCGGCAAGATCAAGAACAAGGTTCTCAAGCTCACCGCCACCATGCTGAAGCTGCAAGCTCAGGCTGCCCAGGGCGAGGACGTCGCCGACAAGATGGCCGCCGAGCAGAAGAAGCTCGACAACAACATCTCCCAGGACAAGGCCGAGGCTGGCAACGCCTCTACCGCCCTCGACTTTGATGCCTCCACCGCATAATCGCCTTTAATTAGCGGCAGAGGCTGTGGATGTGATATCCCATGGAACTTTGTGGAGGGAAAGGGAGAAAAGAGTCGATGATCATGAAAGATTCACGAGGCGAAGAGGCGCTGCGTGCCGGCTTGGATGATCCGATCAAGTGCTGGCCATTTTTAATTATTGGGGATGTATCGGTACTCTTTAGTACACTCTAATAAGTAAAAGAGATTAAAAAACATTAAAAATACCTCCCATCCACTGTGACCTCGGTCTTGACGTTTAGCCATAGACAGCTGCTTTGCTACAGACTACAGCCTACTGACTACAGATTATAACTGAGAAAGAGCAAGTAACTTCTCGGGGTCTTACAGACTGCCAAGAGACGATCAGCATTCTGTGACGGATGTTGCACGGGTACTTGTCTTTCCGCGGTGCGACCCCAGAGTTATCGAATCACCACATACCCAGAACGGGATTCTTGTGACGCCTCTCAAAGCTTAGATGGCTTGGCGAAGGCCTCCAATTCTACATTCAAGACAGTTGTGAGGCGTGAAAAGGTGTAGTAGAAACCCTGACGGCATTAGCATCCAGATTCAACGACCTTTACCGGGAAACCAACCTGCAGCGTGATCGTCTCCACGACTTCTCGGTCAGAAAACTCAGTCTTCGCTTTCGCCCATAGCTCATCCGCCACCTCTGGCCCGTCAATGACAGCCTCGATAAACAGCAGGAGGGTCTTCTCCCGCAGTGTGAATAGTTCTGCGAGAGATTCCAGTTTCCCTTGAGCAGAGAAATATCCCTTCTGCCTCCCAGCCTGGGCAATCACATCTCGCTGGGCGTCAGTGACACCCTCTTTGGCGGAGACCATGCTGTGATGCGTCCACTCGTAAGTGGACCGGAATTTGGCTGTGCTGAGAAGAATCACCAACTCTCGGTTCTTGGAGGATAACTCGAGGTCTTTGAAGTGAGCACCTGCGATTTTCGACCAGTGGTTGACGGTGGCTGGGCTATGTGCGAGAAGCTTCGAGATGTTGAGGGGAGCTCCCTTGACATCGGGGTACGGAAGGCGTGCCATGTTCACTGTAGAGTTTCGCAATTGTGCTAATGCCAGTGTAAAAGTCTAAAAACAAGCAACTACAGTTTTCTCATGAACTTCATTTGAACTGTTCTTGTACTCTTGGGCTTGGGATGAGATGCGGGGTGCCTCGGCAGCCCCTATTAACGGTTAGTCACCCCGGCCGCGAGTTTGTACCTCGGCTCCGTGTGGGGCCGACGGAGGCAGCACCGCAGCGGACTTGGAACGGACCATCGGGTAGATTGGCTGCCCATACACTCTTTCGGTCATCACGAGAGCATTTGAGTAGTTTCCAAGTATCTTTATTCTTCCATAAACCGGATCATGCATCTTTTGCCTGCTTAGCCGTCCATCGTGCTTTCAAAACCTGTACAGACCCCTTTGGCTTTCTGTCCCGTGTAAAAACGCCCTTCTTATTTCCATCCACCCGAGTGATACTCGACGTCGTCTGAAAATCCGCAAAGTTCCAGACGTGCTCTCCAACAACGTTCTCAACACGATCAAATACTCGGTGGAACATTTCCAGGAACTTGCCTTGGTACTCTTCGCTCCAGGGAACGTCACATACGGCGTGTAGCCCCGCCACAGCTTCGGCGCCGTACTCTGTCATGATCATAGGCTTGCCATACTTGGCCTGCCATCCGAGCAAGTCCTTCTCCAGAACCTGCTCCGCCTCTTCTAGATCGCCTGTCTGAGAGTACCATCCGTAGTAGCGATTTAGGCAGATGACGTCGAACAAGTCTGTCACGAGGTCCTTCTCAAACGTCGCGAACCCCATGTTCGCGAAGCAGACCGGTCTCGTCGGGTCCAGCCCGCGCGTCAACGAGACCAACGGCTCTAGATACTCCCTTGCACCGGGCTCCGCCGACGCAGGCTCGTTGGTCACTGTCCACATCACCACCGACGGATGGTTCTTGTCCCGCGCCACGAGCTCTCTGATAGCTTGGTCATGCGCCGCCTGTGTCTTCTCGTTACATGCATCAGGGGCAAAAGTAGGAGGTGCCTTGAGCCCAAAGACGCCGGCAATGATGCCGAGATTGATACCCACCGCCGGAGTCTCGTTGATGACGACGATCCCGTGTCGGTCGGCGTAGTCGAGAACCTCTTCGGCGTAGGGGTAGTGAGCTGTCCGGAAGGAGTTGGCTCCCATCCAGCGCATGAGATGAAAGTCGTGAATCATGTAGGCCGGGTCGAAGCCCTTACCGCGGATCGGCGAGTCTTCGTGCTTGCCAAAGCCAGTGAAGTAGAAGGGCTTGCCGTTGATCAGGAACTGATTGCCCTTGACCGAGATTGTGCGGATGCCGAAGGGGAGTTCGTAAGTATCGAGAACCTCATCTTTTGTGGAGTCTGATAGTATCTCCACACGAAGTTGGTACAGATATGCCGCGCCGGGTTGCCACAGATGCGCCGAGTTGATCGTCAACTCATCTTTCGTCCCATTTGCTTGAGCCACAGTCAACCCCTCCTCGTCAAGAACAGAGATCTTGACCTTGTCATCCTCCACCGGCTGCGAAGTTTGAACCTTATACTGAACTTTGCCTGCTCCCGACTCAGAGACGTCCGTTACGATGATAATATCGCTGATGAATACCATCGGCTTCGAACACAAGTACACCGATCGTGCAAGCCCGGAGTAGTTAAAGAAATCATGCTGATAGTTCTGCTTCCGCTTGCCATTGGCGAGGGTCTGGATTTTGCCCGGAGGAATCGTCTCCCAGCTCAGCTCGTTGCTCACAGCCACAGTCAAGCGGAACCTCTCCCCGGGCTCAACGATGCCAGTGATGTCTGCCTCGAAGGGGGTGTATCCACCAGCATGATCCGCGATTAGCTTGTCATTGACGTAGACACGGCCACGATGGGTTGCTGCGTCGAATCGCAAGAAATATCTCTGATCCTCGGGCGACCATCTGCGAGGCACTGTGACTTGACGCTGATAGTACACCCAACCAACGTGACTGCGAATCTTTTCATTTGCAAAGATGTCGTTGTAGCTAGCTGGTACGGGTACTTGAAGCTTTGGCGGGATAAGCTTAGACCATGGTGCGTCTGCTTCAATGTCGGGTGATGATGCAATTGCAAAGTTCCAGATGCCGTCTAAAGAGATGACGTCTCGAGTCGAATTGGCTTGTGGTTTGAGCATATTTCTTGTTGGTGGCAATCCTTGGCGCTGGAGGTCATGAGTTGAACATCGAGCGAATGCTATTATAAGTGAGCCGAGAGCAAGATGTAGTGTGGTGTTGTGTTTCGGCTTTTCCGAAGCGTCGGTGGTTGAAGTTGCCGGAAGCCGACCGATGCCTCCAGCAACCACTTATGCGCACGTTCGATACTCCGCAGATCCCGCATAACGCGTAAGTCGTTCCGAGGATCAAGCTCTCACGCATGGAGAGACAGACCAGCCATGTTCGTGTTGCGGTTTATCAAATTGAGGTCCTTTCCTACTTCACTCAGGCCCTTGTGGCCTTCGCCGGTTTCCCGAAATGCTGTATCATTTGGCAAACTTAACGTCGGCTCAAAGATGAACTCAAATACACAGACACATATTGCGAGCGAGTTGCTGTCCCGGCATTGATGATGGTAATTGTTGAAATGCCATCGTCTTGACTTGCGGGGTCACCGGGAGTGCGGGGGACGGTCCTTGGCAGGCTAGAGCTGGCAGGGGGCATGCGGGGACTTTTCAGGACACTGAGATGGTGTTCAGAATACACCCTAGATATGTTGAAAGGCTGACTCTGACTCTCAACTCAATCTCAGGAACTCATGTCAGGTGTTGACTTAGACCTCAATTCTCGGATACGCAGCTTAACAAGAGCGATGCTATAAGTGCCAGCAGTGAGAGCACTAGAGCTGTTGAAGCGTGTGGCGCAAATTGCTTGGCTTGTGCTGGGCTGTGGAAGTAGCTGTCTCTCTCATCGACTCTTCCACAACACGGAAAAGTGACCCCAGAGCCAGGTAGTGACAGTGAATCTGTCGCGGTTTGATTGCCGTTGTTTGTGGTCAAAGGGTCATCGAGATTTTGCAAAGTTACCGCCAAGCAGAAACACATACTATCTAGAAGAAGAGCAAACATGACAACTGACACTGTATCTGATATCTGATCGTCTAAACCAACTCCGCATGACCAACAAACTTGCCATCCCCGTCCGCCCCAGATGTCAAGCATTACTGCTCTTTAAGCATGCCGAAATGAACTCAAGTTTTGAGACTGGCAACTCCAAAGACTCCAATCCCCAGCCATCGAATAGTCAGTCCCCTTACTTTGGTTTTCATGAAACGCCAAAGCTAGGAGCCCTCGTGCCTCTTCGCCAGACACCGAAATGCCCCACTTCAACGGTGGAAACCCACCAAACACCCGCCAAACTAGCAAGTAACCATCATAATGTCAATTTTCATCTGCTGACGTCAACCAGGTCCTTCCAGCTCATTTCGAGCTTATCCCCGATGGCACAATTGGCTAGCGCGTCAGACTGTTAATCTGGAGGTTGGTGGTTCGAGCCCACCTCGGGGAGTTGTAGTGGTTAAAATCCACCAAGGATTTCTCTTTTGACTTTTTTTTAGTTGTGGTTGAGGACGCTTCCGTAATTTCTCGACTTTTTTTTTTTTTTGTCTCTCGCAAGCAGCTGTGCCGCATCTCGAGCATCTGTGCAGATCAAAGTTGAAAACTTGAGACGACTCCCGTACTTAATCAAAGATCATATCTCACTTGACTTTTGACTGACCGCCACATTACTTTTTCTGGTTCGTCAACCCATCGATTCAGAGACAATCTAAGACATCCATCTGGTGGAGCAGCTGGCATCGCTAAAGCTCTCGACTCGATGAGTCGACGTGGGGCCGCAAGTGTCTCTCGCTTCACAGCCCCCAGCAGCTGGAAATTTCACAGTGGATCGCTTGTGTTTACCGAAGCATGCATGCCAGGCCATCATTCACGTTGGTCCAACTAAACAATGCCAAAGAACGCTGCGAGCTGCTTTCTTTCCAGCATTTCAGCCTCATGTCTGTGAGTAGCCATCGGCACGACGCCTCTCGAACGACCTGTGTTCAGACAAAGACCTGTCACTTGCTGCTAGCCCCGACAACCCAAATCGCCAAAGGAACGCGGGCACGCCACAGCACGCTAAGACCACTCCTAAGATCCCAAGGCAGAGGCTCGCGCTCAGCATGCTTTCTCGCCCAGAGCCCCGTCAACTGGAGAAGAGAAGAGCTTGTGTCAGTGTAAACCCTACAGGGGGACCGCGATGATTCGTTCGGGGGTCATCCTTACCCGGCATCGAAACTACTTGACCAGTCGCCCAACCCGCCCGCGAGTCGGTTGCCGTGTCGGGAAAGACGCTCGCCAAGGGGGCCCAATCTGATGATACTCTAATTATTTGCCCTTCTGCCATGGTGGAGTAAGCTGCCGCAATCGGTGATCCGTGGGCTATCTACCGCGGTCCAGGCACCTGGGGTTCATCGTGGAGGGGACTTCAGAACGTACTTTGAGGTTCGGAGAACACCCACACTCCCACCAGAAAACGGCCGAAATTCCAGCCCGAACCCGCTATTGCTATCTTCCTTGCACGGAAGCTTTGATTCTATAAAGGCCGTCACACCGGCTGAATCATTCAAGCCTATTCGGATGTCACAAAAGAGGGCCTACGTCATTGCACCTGTTTCGCTGGGCCAGCGTTACTTCAACCGCCCATATCCATCACGATGTTAGGCACCGCGCTTCCAGCACGCACATTGGGCGAACAACATGCTACTGCAACGAGCTTCTCCTTCTCCGCATCGAATTTTGCCTTCTTTGCTGTAGCAGGTCTCGTCTTGTATCTATTATACAACTGGGCTCTGCCTAAGCCGATCGCGGGAATCCCTTACAATGTCGAAGCGACGAAGCGCTTATTAGGAGACATCCCCTCCGTGCTTGATGGAATCAAACGCACCGGCGAGTTCAACGCCTGGGTCAACGAGCAGGCAGACAAGTTCAAATCACCACTCTTCCAAGTCTTCGTCCGTCCCCTCGGCAAGCCCTTGTTGATCCTCTCCGACTTCCGTGAAGCCCAAGACATCCTCATGCGACGAAAGGACTTTGACCGGTCGTCCCTCGACGCCGACCTCCTCGAGGGCGCGGGGCGCAACCACCACATCCACCTCAAAACCGGCGACGAGTGGAAGAGGCACCGCAGGCTCCTTCAGGACCTCATGTCGCCGCAGTTCCTCAAGGAAGTCGCGGCACCGACGGTCTATGCGGGGGTGTCGAGACTGATCCAGCTGTGGAACGATAAGGCGCGAATTGCAGAGGGCCGGCCATTCTCTGCGGAGCTGGATATCTACTACGGTTCTCTGGACGCGGTCATGACGTTTACGTTCGGCGGTAGCTTTCCCAGCAGCGCGCTGTGTCCGACGGCGAATCTCGTCAAGGGGCTGGGTGTGGAGGATATCAGGCGTTTACGGGGTTCAGGTCTCGGCAGCGACGAAGCCTTGGAATTCCCAACGGAAGAATGTGACGAGAAGATTCAAGCGACGCTCGGTGTAGCGAATTCGATTGAGTACCTTCAAGGCTCACCGATTCCGAGACTCAAGTGGTGGTTCGTCGAGAGACTTCCCTCGTTACGTCGCGTCTTCCATGTCAAGAGAACGTACGTGCGGGAGGAGATCTACAAGGCCCTGAAAAGGCTAGAGGAAGTTGGTGATGAGGAGTCCAAGGTTCTGTCCGCTGTCGAGCTGGTAGTGCTCCGGGAAAAGAAGCTGGCAGAGAGTGAGGGCAGGGCTCCGGACTTTTTCTCCGAGATCATGGTTGACGAGGTAGGTGCCAGATGTTTCGTGAGGAAAACTATAGCTCGGAATGTGCTAACATCTATGCTAGATCTTTGGCGTAGTTGTTGCGGGGCACGATACAACCAGTACCACCATGTGTTGGGGTGTCAAGCTTCTTGCAGACAACCCCCAGAAGCAGACCGACTTGCGCGAAGCACTCTGGGCCACCTTCCCCGATGCATTCGCCGAGCAACGCAGTCCTACCGTCAAGGAGATCGCAGGAAACACGAAGGTTCCGTATCTTGATGCTGCCGTGGAGGAGATCCTCCGATGCGGTGGCGCCACCCCGCTCGTCGACCGCGAAGCGACCTGCGATACCGAGCTACTAGGGCACCACATCCCCAAGGGCACGGTCGTGATGTGCCTGAATAAGGGCCACAGCATGATGAAACCGGCTTTCATCGTTGAAGAATCAAATCGTAGCCTGAGCAGTCAGAGTGCCAAAGCCAGGGCTTGGGATGACGATGATATCGGGCAGTTCAAGCCGGAGCGCTGGCTCGTCGAATCATCCAGTGTTCCCGGAGAGGTTGAGTTTGACCAGCAGGCAGGGCCTCAGCTCGCCTTTGGGCTGGGAACTCGCGGTTGCTTCGGGAGGAGGTTGGCGTACTTGGAGTTGCGAATCATTCTGGCGCAGATCGTGTGGAACTTTCAGCTTCTTCCGTGCCCGAGGGAACTGTCTGGCTATGTTGGCAAAGAGGGCCTGACGTACAAGCCGAATGATTGTTACGTGCGTCTACTAGCACTTGGGAATAAATAGAAGGAAGACTCTGTTTCATGAACGACTGAAACCTCCAAGCCCTCTTCCTGCGGGCTCCGTCTCATTAAGGCGGGCGAACGAAGACAAGCTACTAGGGTGCCCTTCTCAATCTCCGGTCGTACTTCTGGCTAAGGATGTCTGAAAGATAATGAGCCACGCTTTGTTAGGTGTCAGGAAGATAACTCTGCTCAAGCGCATCACTTGGTAAGCATATTGCAGTAAAGTAAGTACTAGTAAAGTCTTCTGTGTACTAGTTGTATCAGGTAGCCACCTTGTCTCCTCCCCTCCCCTCTCCTCCGCTCTCTTTTCCTCTCAGACAGATACTTTTTCATGTGATCATGATCCCCCGCCCTTCAACCCCCTCCCCTCCATTAACCATCTGGTACTCACAGCAGCCGCTCCATCGAAGCCAATGGATGTTCACATCACTTACCTTGCCAAGGACTACAATTCAGTGCTCTAACATACTCAGGGTCATAAATCATGCTTGATTTGCCCTTTGTTGGAGCCGACTGGCTTCGTCAACCGCGCTTTTGAGCGGCCGAGAAGCGGCGGGACGGCGAAGATGGCTACCTACTTTCGACGCCATATCGCCTGGCAGAAGGAGGAGAAAGTGGAGAAGGTTTGTTGTAGTTATTGGGGTCTTCATCGACGTCATCTCCGAGATCTTTTAGGGCCCTCGTCGCCTTCTTCTTTTTCTTTCGTATGTATGTGTAGAAGTAAGCTGCCACCGTAAAGACTGTAAGGATGAGCCAGACGAGGACGAAAACCCAAAAGTCCTTCGCGATGGCAATCTTGCGGGTTTTCTCGTTGAAGGAAAAGTAGTTGCTCCCGAATAATGACTGCGGGCGGGGGACATGCATGAGCATAACTGAAACAATCGTGTCTATGCTTTTGGGTTACACTTACGCCGACGAAACTGCCCGGAAGATAGATGGCAGAAATGATCGTGATGATGCGTACGATGGCACTGTCGTCCACCGTGTTCTCAGTCAGGTCCTTTAGCTTGAGCGTCACATCGCCCGTGTTCTTGATGTGAGTCTTCATCTCGCGGGTGAGGAGCTGTAGCTCCTGCTGATTATGCAGCGAGAGCGTATACGATGCCTAGGCGAGGTAAGGAAATGAACGTCAGGCGCTTTCTAACTTGTAGTAGGCTGGAACATCTTGGAGGAACAGAATACTCACCAGCTCAACTGTGTTGTCTACTCTCTGACGAAGCACAGCGGAACTCTCGATGTATCCACGGAGCATGGTCTCCATGGACCGGATTTCGGCGGCTGGGAACTTTCCGGTGGAGAGGATGCAGCCCGTGACCTCGAGATTGCTCTGGCAGCAGGCGCTGGCGAATAGGGCGAGATCGTTGGTATTCCTCAGCTCGCGCACGCTCTTGAAAGTCACCCAGACGTTGTGGTCCATCTTTGCATGGGGTACCATGGCTGTATTGAGCTGCGTGGGCAGATAGGTCAGAATTGTCAGTCCCATCGGGAGGTCTACCGAAACTCGTGGCTTCACGTACTACTTTGGAGAATCTGTCACCTAGATGGCGGAGGTATGCCCGCCAGTTGTCGAGGTAACATGATAGGATGTAATGGTGTAGCATCGCTGGCTGCGAGCAAAGGTCTCGCCTGAAGACATTCACCATCGGGGCGCTCTTGTCGTCGAGCTCCTCTGAGCACTCGACCTCCTCCTCCTCTTCTACGAGATCTTGGAGCGTCTCCGCTAGCTCGCTCGCGGGCTGGCAGTGCAGTAGTATGAAGAGATCGAAGCAGGGCGTGTGCTGGTGGTAGACTCCAACGTGCCGGAAAGACCACGCGTCGGGGCCGGACCGCTCGTTTCGCTCTACGAAATTGAGCTTATATAGCAACGTGTCTAAAGTGATTGGGAGTTCTCAGAAATCTCTTCATCTAAGAAACGGAAACGGAAGTTACAGGCGGGCGGGGAAAGCCTCACATGCGTCATCGCCCTGAGGCACAAAGGTGCTATTGGCGCTGCCGGCCTCGGACTGGTGAGGCTCGTCGCCGAAGGACAGGAGCACTCGCAGGAATTCAGCACGCACTTTATACCTCTCGAATAGTCTGGCGGCCATTGACGAGGTGATGCGGAGCGGATTGATGGTTCTGGCCGACGATATGGAGCTAGATGACAGACGAAGATTAGCCCGTAGCCCGGTGGAAATAATTCTAGTTCAGAGATGACAGACATTATACGTATGCCCGCGGTGGGTGTAGCGTTGAGAACGAGATCGAGGTCATCCTCTTCCCTGACAATGCTTGCGTGGAGTTTGTCTACAAGCTTGTTGTCAACCAATGTTGATTCCACACACGTGTAGAGGAGTGGGGGCAATGAAGCATACTTTCGTTGTTGTCGTCAATATCCAGTACATCAAACAGCGTCTCCGAGTCTTTGGAGGCAAACGCCGTCACTGACAGATCATCCACTTGGTTACGGAGCCCAGCAAGGTTGAAGCCACTCTGCTGATGCGCAAAGTATTGGCCCCAGCCGCTCATCATGCCCGTCAAGATTTCAAATGCTTGGAGCTGAATCGGTCAGTCTGTGGACGGAACCAAGAGGGCACCAGGCCGTCATATGAAAACCTCTCGTAATGATGCGCATGGGGCATCGACCAGAGCAGGGCAAGGCTGGGCGATATTTTGCCCTGAGGTATGCCCGGGGCTGGGGCAGAAGTGTTTGCGGCTCGGCCCGGTCCTCACAGCCTGATCTGCCTTTCCATGCCATGCAGCCGACAAGCTAGGTGGACCGGACTTGATGTAGGTAACTAAGTGAAGGAGTACGCGTGGAAGAGGAAGAAAAATGCGATCAGGCTCGACGGTCCCAACAGTTCAAGTTCAGACAACTTTCATCGGGAAACAGTAAAACACAAATAGGAGGATTTCGTTGGGAGACGGACGGAACGAGACGGGAAAAGGAGAGTAGAAAGCCGCTGAGCCTCTTGTGTGACAGATTCAGCCTCCGAAGTGTGGTAGCACACATAGTAACACAGAGAGACAACAAGCCGCCGTGCCCCCTTTATCCGAAGGAGGGAGGAAATATGCTTGGGTTGCATTCACCGCCGCCTGACCAGTCTTGTCCACACCCTCTTCATTTCGCTTTCCATTTCAATTCGCCCACTCCACGAGGCTGCAGAGATGGCTGCCACAATGGATACACAACGCCCGACAAGCGCTTATCTTCGGCTCGATGTGCCGCCTCCTTTCCGCCGCTCTCTCCGCCTCCGTTCTCTCCTTGCAGCCTCCCGAGCAGCATCGCGCCGGTCAGCAATCTGTGTGACAATCTCCCTGTTTACAACTGTTAGTATCGGCTCAGTATCGGCCTCTGCCGTTGCGGCGATGCATGCCTTAGCTCGTTCTGTCCAGTATCAACACACGTCAGCCAGCATACCTTCTAAGATAGGAGGCGGCAGCGCAAGGTATCCTTACCTCTTCAAGTTGCTCTGGGCAGTCAAAGTACCAGCGGTCGTTCTCGTGCTGTACGGACAGTTGGATTACTGTTTTCTCCCTAGAAGAGGTGAGCGAGATGAGGAAGAGGAAGACGGACTGCGATGCAAAAGTCAATATGATCCCCATATCTCTCCTGGAGCAGGGCCAGCAGCTCGGAGCCGAGAGTGACGTATCGTGATAGTCTCTGAGGTAGGACGTTGCGCACTAGCTCCATGGTCGAGCGTGGCACGGATTCACTTCACCGACACTGTTGCCGTGATCCATGCGATGGGAGATAGAAGAAGAAAATTGATGGGATGGGACGGAGCAGAGAATAAAAGAGGAGCCTCGTCGTGGATACCATGAATTGCGAAGGAGAGGCTCACTTACAACATTGGCCTTTTGTAATGGTGGAGGGATGCTGTACTACCTTTGAGAGGCTGGCTGGAGAATCGAGAGGTCAGTAGATACAAGAGACAGCGCCGCGAGTCAATGACATTGCATAGGTGGTGGACTAACGTGGAGGCCGGAAGGCTGGAAGCTGATGGGCTGTTCGATCCCTCCCTCAGGTTGCCTGGAAAAGAGAGAAGAACATAGGTGGCGAGCCAGATCAGCTCAGTAGGCAGTCAGCAATGTGCAGAGGCGTTCCTCGGCCATAGTTGGGTGCTTGGGTGCTTCTATATCTCCTTTAAGAGTGTCCCAATCTCACGACCTGGTTCAGACAACGCTGCGTCTTGAAAAACGAGGGCAAATGGAAAACAACACAGATGCATTACGGAAAAGCGCGCGGAGGGAACGGCAGCTCCTCCGGATGTGCGACGGGCTACCTGCGCTCCAGATCCGCCCGAAGCCCGACCTAGACTCGCCCTTCCACCGCCCCTTCTTCCTCGCCTCCAGAGTTCGCAAGCTCTGGGAGCACCAGGGTAAATTGGGAGATGTTCTGTTCAACCTGAGACCGCAACAGCTGAATTCAGTCTGGAGACATTCACTCTTGTTCGTCACCTTCCTGGTCTACATTGAGGTTCCGCCCCTGCTTTACGCGCACGTCTCCAGCCTACTCTTCAAAGATGGTGATGACATAACACCGCGGTACCGAGACACGGAGATGCCGTATAGTGAAGCAGATCTCGTAGAGCTGAGCCTATCGCGAGGCAAGACAGCTAGGTTGGAAGAGCAGTACCTATTTACACCGGCCACGATCGTTCTGAACCCGCAAGCAGCGCCGGCAATACAAGTCATTCCGAACTCGCTGACGCGAATTCCGTTCATGGAATGCGACCCAGGACAGGAGCATGGCGGATACGGCGATGTAAAGGTAAGCACCTTTTTCACGGGCCTCGCCGGTTTTTTCATGGCATTCGATACATGCTAACATGCCATTCTTGGCAAAGTTCTTCAAGCTGGCACCTGAATACGTGGTAGATGAAGATCCAAGCCCTCGAACCTGGGTGCCGGTATGTGCTTTAACTTCATCCATACTTCCCTTCCCATGTGCTTCATACGCTTCATATTGTGATATGAACAACCTTCATCTATGTCAATATCTGGAGATCAGGGTCATCAAAACATCCTCACGTTATCACTGACATCACGAACGTACAAGGAACATCAACGACAACCTCTCGTCGTCGCCGTAAAGTCCTTCCACAACCGCGACGACGGCCTCGCCGAGGCAAATAACATGCGTCTCCTTCACCAGGGCAAGGCCGGCGACCATAGCATCTCGCTCTGCAACGCCGTCGTTAAACATGGGAGTAGCGGGGGCTTCTCCTCCTCGAGGCTCTTGATCTTCTTCCCCCGTGCCGAGCTCGGGGACTTGGGCCAGCTTCTACACGGCGGGCAGCACGGCTATGGTGACGAAGCAAGGTCGTACGACTTCAGTGAGCGGTTCCCGCACGCCCACGCTCACGGCTGGGGCAACCCCGAGCTCGCCCGAGCACTGCTGCACCAGTGCGTCAAGCTCGCTGGCGCCCTACTGTTCCTTCACTCAGGCTTTCCCGCGTCATCGCAGAGCGGCGGACGATGGGTGCGGTGTGCACACATGGACCTCAAGCCAAACAACATCATCATATTCGGCGGTGACGGTGCCGTGGGCCGCTGGAAGCTGTGCGACTTTGGCATCTCCGTGCTCAAGGACGAGGAAAGCGAGGGCCGCGCGGGGGAGGACCATCAGAGTTCCTTTTATAGCCAAATGACCTTCAACACGAACGCGCGGCGTAGGCGAGGCCAGTACCAGGCCCCGGAGGTGCCTGAGTTCTGGGGCCCGTACCATGCGGAAAGCGTCCGGAGCAGCGGTACAGACACGGGCACGGGCACGGCCGGACTTGTGGGGCGTGTCGGCCGGTCCGCCGATATCTGGTCCTTCGGCTGCATCTTCGCCGAAGTCCTGGCCTTTGCACTCGGTGGGCCGCGGAACGTCGAAGGCTTCCTCTCGGCGCGGAGGCAAGTCTTCAACAACATCCGGGACGGCAACTTTCACTCGCCAAGCAACAGCAACAGCACCAGTACGTCGTTATCGAGCCACATGGTGCGGCCTCAGGTGCTGCAATGGCTCGGCGAACAATGTGCCACGGCTGCGTCGCCCATCTGGTCTAATTGCTGGGCTGGTCATGTTAAGCGAATCTTGCGCGTCGACCCGCGAGAGAGACCCGACGCGCAGACACTGGAGCGTCAAGTGCACCATGTCTGGGTTGACGCGCTGAAGTGCCCAAGAGAGGCGACATCCAAGTGCGAGACTTTTCAATATGAAGCTGAACCGCAAAACGTGCCGGAAAAGTCGCTTAATGAAGAGCTGACTGCAATCCCGAAAGCCTCCTCCTTGCCTCTTCCCCTATCACCTGGTCATCCTCCCGTTCCCGCTCCGGTAACGGCGACGGCGACCCCCTCCAACGTTTCTTTTGAGGTACCTGTCAGCTCTAACCCCCACTTCACCGGCCGTGAGAAGATTATAGCTGAGATGGAGAACTTCTTCTTTGAGGATGGCCGCTCTGCCACGCAACATAAGCGCCTCGTCCTGACGGGCCTCGGGGGCGTAGGCAAGACCCAGATCGCCACGGCGTTCGCCTACGATGCCTATAACGCCAGCCGCTACGCTATAGTCCTCTGGGTCTTTGCTGTAGACGAACAGGAGGTCATCAAGTCGTTCACGCAGCTGGCGAAGACGCTGGGGCTCGTTCCCAAAATCAGCATGTCTCACGAAGACCGCGGGAAGCAGTTCATGCCACCCATGGCGCTCGCGCTTTTACAGTGGCTCTCGCGCGAGGAAGAGCAGAACTCGTCTCGGTGGCTCCTCGTATTTGACAACGTCGACGATCTAGACAATCTTGACGTCTCGCGGTTCTTTCCCCGCGTGCCGTGGGGGCATATTCTCATCACGAGCCGCCGCAAGGAGGCCCGCCGACTAGGTCGCCAGGTCGAAGTCGGCATGATGGACGAAGCAGAGGCTGTAACCCTTCTTAAAAATTGCTCTGGCCGTCACGGTGACGACCAAGACGAAGCTGCGCGCCGTGTCGCTTATAAGTTGGGATACCTCCCGCTGGCCCTCGATCAGGCCGGCGCCTACATTACGGGGCAATCCATCGACTTTGCCGAGTACATGGATCTCTACCGCGTGAGCCACGACCAGCTGCTTAGGCACAAGCCACCGCGCGCCGTCTGGTCGTACGAGCAGACCGTCTTCACCACCTGGGAGATCTCTTTTCACGCAGTGGCCGCCAGGAACCCCGTCGCCACGCGCCTCCTCGACCTGGCGGCCTTCTTCTACTCGGACGGTGCCCCCTTCGAGCTCATGTGTGAACTTGCCCAGGTCCGCGGGCCGGAGCTCCAACAACGGCTCCTCCTGCGAGACTTTGTTGATTTCGTCCAGACGCCGGCTGACTACGATCGGCTGGTCGGCCAGGCGCCCCCGGAGCTCATGGTCCCACGGCTACAGGTTGTTGAGGCCATCGGCACCCTCGCGTCCTTCTCGCTCGTGGACCAAAAGACTATGTCAACTCATCCGCTAGTCCACTACTGGCTCATGGAACGGCAGTCGAGTGCGGACAGGATCAGGAGCGGCCGTGCAGCCATCTTCCTCGCCATGCGTGCCATTATCAACGCGTACGACGCGTCGCGCTTCGCCGAGGGTGAGACGTTGTACCCCTATCTTTTCATCTGCCTGGACAATCTCTATGACATACCACAGCTTCTCAGCGACACGGAGCTTCACAAGGTCGGCGCCTGCATGATCGCCCTTGACGCCTGGGTCCCCGTCTCCCTCGATCACGGCACGCTGCACCGCGCCGACCGCTTTTACGACCTCGTCGCCGCCCACAGCGAGCACGCAGACTGGCAGATCCCCGACGCATTGCTGGCGGTGCGCCGCGCTTTTCGGCTCATGAGCATGGGGCGGCGAAGGGAGTGCAGCGATCACTGTGCTCGCTACCTCGCCACATTTCACCAGCGCTCGCGGTTGGACAAGATGTACGCCTCGTCCCTGGCACAGACTTGTGCGCCCTGCTTCTTCCGCTTGGGTGACTACGACCGCGCCGAGCAAATATATGAGTACTTGGATGACTCGCTCGACGACTCGGGCGCCATGCTGGCGCGCAAGCAGTTAGTTCTCGGCGCTATTAAGATCGACAGGGGGCTGCCGGACGAAGCCGCGGCCGTACTTGAGGGCTGCGCGCGCGAGCTCGAGAGGGGCATCGGCCAGCACCACTTTCTGCTTCGCGTGTGGCACCAGCTCATGGCTCGATCCCGCCTGGCGCAGGGGCGGCCGGCTGAGGCCGAGGCTCAAGTGATGAAGGGGCTGGCGGTACGGATGATCATGCTCGAACGCGGCAAGATGGAGTTTACCTTTAGTGACTACGAGCTCGCCGAGGTGTACGCGCAGGCTCTCCGGGCGCAGGGGCGCTTTGATGAAGTGAAAGCCTGGATGATCGCGCTGCTGGAAAAGACGGCGTCGGAGAAGCCGCGACCGGCCCGGAGCCTTGCAGAGCTGTCGCTCATCTTGATCGAGCTCGATGAGGCGACGGCCCTATTTGGGGGTGGCCAAGAGGAGAGACGAAGTATAGATGAGTTGATGACTAGGGCAGAGCGCAAGTTTGTCGAGGCCGCGGCAGTCTATGAGCTAGAATGGAATAGGGGCATGTGGTCGTTCAAGCACTTTCACCGGACGCTGGCAGAGTTCAAAAAGAGATTGGTGCAAGAGGACTCTCAATTTTGAGATGGAAACTTGATAGAAAGGTATTATTTCATTGCATTTACCTTCACGCATCCGTCACGTCCTTGACGCGCTTTACGTCGAGAGTCTTTCCCCCATAGGCTGCTATCAGCTCGATGACCTTATGAATGGCCTCGACCTCCTCCGGCTCCATGCCTACGCGCAGGCAGGCCCTCAGATGCCAGTACGTTGGGTCTTGAAGATTCTGCGTCATGATCGCAGGGGTCACGACGAGCTCCGTCTCCTGTATATCGAGGATGCGATGGTCCGAGAGGAAAAGGCCATAGGACACGTTGACCGATATCCATGCTAGTGAGCGCAGTGTTAGAAACTCCAACACCCAGACAGTATGGGTATGGGTTTCAAGGGATGAACTCACGAATATCCTTGTGGGCATGCAGCACCTCGACGGGGGCGCCCACCTCGCTCTTATACAGCACCTTGAGAACGGCCGCGGCGCGCTTCGAGGTCTCAGGCCCAATTTGCCAGTCCTCGCACGAGCAGGACTGATCCGTGTCCTCGGGCTTCTCGACCTCCGAGACTGACGTGACGGCCTCGATGACGACGGGGATGCCATTGATGATGATGCACTTGACCATAGCCTCGCGCAAGCGGCGGACGAGGACCTGCCGCTCGGCGGGTGTCTGGTACTGGGGCTGAGAGACTAGGTGCGTGTATAGGTTCCCGGCGAGCTTCTGTTGTCCTGAACCGATCAGCGAGGCAATCTAGACGAGTAGCCTGTTAGTCTTGGTCTTCCGATCGAGCCCTGGTTAGTGAGGTTATGGAGTTGACTGAAGGGACAGGTCTTCATACAACGGTCAAGTACCATCCATGCTCGCGGAATCGCGGCGGGAAGCCGGCCTCGGCCTTTTCGAAGAGCTCTGTCAGAGCGGCCGGCGTGGTGGCCGTGGTGGGAGTGTCAGCCGGCGCGGTTTTAGTGTCAGTATCGTTCATCGTAGCTGGCCGAGTCGTCATAGTGCTAACAAATCGTAACGAACTGGTCCGAGTCTGAACTGCCACGAGGAGGACCCTTGATATTAAAGTAGGCCGAAATGGACTGCGACTTGGGGCTCTCAAGGGGTGGGATCGGGAGAGAGGCCGCACCGCTACTTTGCCGGATCGGACAGTGCGAAAGAATCTCATTAGAATGAACGCGCCAGGTCGTTAGGTAGTAGTGTATCTACAGACAGTTTGATAGAGAGCACTCTTTCTAGCCTGTACGAGGACGGGATGTTGCTGACGCAGGAGTTTGCTTTCTGTTCATCTTCCTGTGAAACTCTTCAGTCTCCAAAGGTGCTCCACAAGACCATTTAATCCGGCCAAAAATGGCTGACGCTTCTCTGTACCACCTGAAGCCCAACCCTAGGTAAGTTGTCCTGAGTACAGACTCCAAAGGAGACAACATTCTAAAGAATGAGAAAACAAGGCTGTCTGACTGTATGCATCAGCCCGGATAGTGACGGAACCAGAGAGCAGGCCCGGCTACCCGGGCCACCATCGGAGCAACACTGTGTCTCACCGTTTGTCTTGTATGAACAAACGAGCTGCGTGCGCATGGGTCTTATGGTGTGTTACTCAATGATCTCTTGAATGTCATTCGTCCACGTCCCGTCCCCTTCGTGTCACCTCAGTGAAGAAGAGGGGGGGGATCAAGCAGGCTGGCAGTCTGAGAGCAAACAAGGCAAGGCTACCTACCTTAGCTATACTATCGCCGGCGGGAAACTTGAGGCACCCGCATCGCCGCTGCAGTTGCTTTTCGTAGACTCGCGAGTCGCGCATTGTCGATTCATTGATGCTCGTGGCCTAGATTGACTCGTTGCCTACTAACGGTAGGGATAGTGTTGCGTCTGTGTTGGTTGCCTGTGCAGATGATGTGACGCTAAAGAAACGAAAGTACGCCGGCTCATTCCCCTTAAACTGACCGAGGTCATGGCTCTTATCTTGATGAGAGCGTTACTGTCCCCGTACATGTATTACAACAAGCCATGGCGACCACTATGGGTCTCCTCAAGATAGGGAGAAAGTGAGGATTGTCTCCCGAGCTGGCTTTCTAGGTAGTATAGCCAGACCGAGGGATAGGTAGGTAAGCAGCTTACTGACCTCATGTAAGCCGCTGCTACGAGCTTCCCAGGCTTCTTAAGTGTTCCTCCGTTCGAAGGGATGCGTCCATCATCAATCAGCCTCACATCGGTTGAGGGCACGACAGTATTGACTACAACGCCGAGGTAGCTCCCGCTTACATCGCTAATGTACTCGTTGCCGTCGAGGCACCCACCTCGGTTGTTTTAGCTGGTATCCTACAGAATATGACAAAGCCTCCTTACGCCAATAAAAAGCATCGCTACCAAAGCTAGAAGACCAAGAACCTGTCAAGCGGTTCATACGCTCTCTCTCTATCCCTTCAACGGCTGACTCAGCTCGAAAAGAGCCGGGGTGTGATCTTACTTCCTCCGTTCTCATCCCCCAGCGATGTTCAGAACCCATCTCACACCACCCGTGCCTTTCAAAGGAGTGGCTAGTCATTCGCCTGGTCTGCCGCGGCCGCTGCCGCTGTCGGAGCTGCTGTCGAAGCCGCCGCCGCCCGGCGCTCCACCTCCATCATAAATCTGCTCACCTCGGGGTCCAGCGGTAGCGTACTTCTCATCTTTGACTTGTTTCCAATGACCTTGAGACCGCCGAGAGATCGCGCCCGGCTCAGGGCCACATAGGTCTGCCTTCCGTCCCAGACGTCCTGCAGATTGACGCTGACGTGGTCGAGCGACAGGCTTTGGCTCTTGTGGATGGTCATGGCCCAACCCGGCACCAGGGGGATCTGCGTGCGCGCCGAGTACGCCTTCAGTACCTTTTTGTACCCGTTTTCGGTGGGAATGACCTCTGCTTCGATGTTGTGCATGTTGCAGTAGGGGAGGATGACGCGACTTTGGCCGTTTGCGAATATAACTTCAGGGACTGTGCAGCGGAGAAAGAGGAACGAATGTTAGCGGTTCGTGGCTACAACTCTTTGGTTGACCCGGGACACGGGAGAACTCACAACCCCTGGCGCCCGATGGACCATTAATGTAGTCGCTCATCTGTTCGTATCTCGCGTATGCGACCTGGAAGCCGTAGGTGTCCCCTTTGTAGTTCCCCTTGTCGGGCATCTTGGGCTTGTTGCATTCGTCCAACTTCCGTATGAAGCGGACGAGCTTGCCCTGGCTGCCGTTGCAGAAACCGTTCTCGACGTCGAGCTGCGAGTCATTCACTGGCGCGTTAATCTAGGTAACCTTGGGGCAGGGTGTGCGATAGCGCGGCGGGAGGGGAAAGGGGAGAGCTCACGTTAGCTAGCAGCACAACCGGCATGCCAGCCTTGAGGGTCAACTGCTTGTCGAACCGATGCTTCTCGTCCTTATCGCCGAGGTCTTTTGGGTGGTCCAGGGCACTAAAGTGTTCCGGGTGGCTGCGAAGCTTGTTAAGCTCCTGGTTGTTGTAGTCCCTGGCTTTGCCTCTGAGGCTGAACAGAGCTATGCCATTCCTGACTTCGCGATGCTGCAGCAGGACGTTGAGATCGGCGTCGGTTGTGTGACCCAGGCGGATGTTCTGGAGCATCGTTATGAACTTCTCATCGCTTTGCCGATGGATCTTGGTTAGATGGATGTATCTATTCGCCAAGGATGTCAGGTCTGTGTCCTCAATCCGACCATCAAACGGATCATGGTACTCACTGAAAATTACAATCTGCCCAAGTCCGCGAGTTGAAGGCCCATTTCTGAGCATCTCGAAATGTAGGGTGCTCTTTGTCCCGAGGACAAAAGTGCAGATTGCGTTGCTTGTCGAAAGCCAACTTTCCACACGCTGTCGAAGTTTGACTAGCCGGGTCGTATTCTACCTCCTCAGTGCAGTACTGAAACGGTCGCACGGGGGGTAGCTGGCAGAAGTCCCCGACGGCGATGACCTGAATGCCGCCGAACGGTCGCCTCACCGAATCCGCGGTCTGGTTTCTGCAGATAATCTCGCAGCCCTTGGCGAACCTCTCCCGTCGGAGCATTCCGAGGACGTCAGAGAGCCGGTTCAAGAATTCGCCCTCGACCATGCTGATCTCGTCGATGATGAGGACGTCGGTGCTCTCGATGCGGTCAAACACCGAAGTGTGGCGCGCGTTTTTGATAAGAGTCCTGAATGTCTCCTCCGGGGCACTGATGTTCCATCCAGCGTAGGAAAATGTCGTCCTGCCATTGATGTTAGTGGCGGCCTGGCCCGTAGGCGCGACGAGGTAGACGGTCTTGTTCTGGGCTTCGAAGGCCTGGTTGAGGGCCTTCACCACGACCGATTTGCCGCAGCCGCCGGATCTGAGAGAGTCAGTCATGGTCTGGTTTTCCTCCTCCTTCAACAGTGATGGACCTACCCCGTGATGAAAAGGCTGTGGCCTTGCATAGCCAGATCCAGGGCGTGCTGTTGTTCAGGGCATAGGGGAAATTCTGGGGCCGCCTCTGCGACTGCTGGGTCTTTCTCGCCTTTAGGGCGATCATTCTCGCGTTTGATGTACTCGTTCGTTTCATCTGAGTAGCCCTTGAGAGGTAAAAACCCCTCCGATTCCCTCATTGCTCCTGCCTCGTTGTCAAAATCCCCCTCCCGTTTGATCGCGGCCTCACGGAAATCATCCTCCTCGCTTTTGATTGCCGCCTGGTCAGAATCACCCTCTTCCTTCTTGATTGCCGCCTGGTGGGAATCATCATCCTCCTCTTTGATTGCCGGCTGATCGGAATCATCCTCCACCAGGATAGGTGACTCGCGTAAACCCCATTGGTGACTTTCCTCGCGCTTGACGGCTTTAGGACGATGAACGTCAAAATAAAAGCCAACCAAAGGCTCCGAGTCGCGCTCATCCTCCATCTCTCGGGGCCGCTTGACCGGAGAAGGCGCCGCCGTGGGTGCAGGCGCGGGTGCAGGCGCGGGTACGGTAGACCTACTTTGATGTGCCGGGGAATAGTTCATCAAAGAGCCAGCGTCGATCTCGAGAGCAAGCCCAGAAATGAGAAGGTCCATCTAACGTATGTCAGTCTCCTAGTTCACAAATATGAAAGTCTTCACTCACAGCCAGGTTGAAGCTCGAAGCGGTCGTGTCTGGGTTGATTACCGCGTGTTAGCATGGTGGGAGGTGCTGACAGGTGACGGACTACACAGCCGAACTCCTGCGCGTACTTTGGTTCTGGCAGCCTTCAGTCTGTTTCTTGGTATCGTTCCAGTCCGTGAAGATGCCATATTTCCTGCCGTGCGCCCCAGGTCCTCGCAGGTTGTAGACCACGTAGTATTTGGCGGCTTGTCCTCTATTGAGCAGGACCGGATTGCGCGAGTCGTTGATGTAGTTCTTCGCGGCCTGCACCGCCTGCTTGGACGCAGGCCGGGGATTTCCGACCAGCTGATTCCGGGCCGGCTTGGGCTTGGCCATGGCTGTAAGTGTCGGCGGTACGATGGTCGTCCTCGAAGCTCATCATGAGAATGAGGTACGCGATAAGAGGAGGGAAGTGCCGGAACCTGGGGGAAGGTTTCACAGACTCCACATGGAGGCTTAGGTAAGCAAATTTTGGTCGCGCATTGGCCGTTGGGCCTTCATAGCCCCAGTTTATTTCCCCTCAAAATATTCGCTTTTTCTATATTGTCCAAGGCTTAGGGAGGCATTTGTCGTTCCTTGACAACTCATCGACAATAGGTAGGCCGGGTTCCTAGGAGCTTTTTGAGCCCAAAAAGCAGTATTCACCCTCACGAAATATGACTGTGATAGCCGTTTGCTAATTGAGGCGGTGGTATTGCATCACCTAGGCAGTCGATGTCCAAGCAATCCAGGTCGTCAGAACCCCAGCCAAAGCCACATAGAAGGCGCCTGCCGTATAAGCAACTCCCCAGTCTCGATATATGGCTTGGGAAACGATAACAAAGAGACCAAAGACCACTGTGCTCCCGACCAAGAGTATCACAGATGGCGTGCTAAAGCTGGCATAAGGCCATTCGACGATTCGGAAGCCGACAAACTCAATTTCCGCCACTGCACGAATCACGGCAGCTTCAACAGGTGGTATGATGTCTCTAGAAACGTTGTCAGCAAGTACCTTAAAGGATGCCTATCGTCACTCGACAGAAAAGACACGGGAGACCTGCTCACTTTGAGGAGTATATCCATTTATCGTAAAGCATATCGTTGCCCACGGCTAGCTCTGGATAGGCCAGGAGCATATTCCAGGTTGAGGCCATTTTGAGCTTTGAAAGCTCTTTCAACCTATCCACATGAATTTGGACGCCGCAACTGCTGAGTTTGGGAAATTTGGAGTCTTCTCCCCATGCCTCGTGAATCATGTCGCCTCTCGTCGGGATTCGATGGTTCGGTGATGTCATAGTTGTAGTTGCTGATCAACTTTTGGAGCGCCTCGATTCTTTCAGCAATGTTGACGATCTGGAACTGTCCCCGGAATGCACCCGGTCTTTGGGCGTGCCGGCCGATAATTATCAACTTCGATTTTCAAAGTCAGCTACGCTCTGGATTGTAATTCGTATTCTAAGTTCCATGTCCGAAACCATAAGGAATTCCCTTACATTTACCAGCTCAAGCCTCACAGGGCCCAGCAATCGTTTCCACCGCCGAGTGCACTGCCGCGCGACTCCAGACAATTTGGCCCAGACATCGACGGGATCCAATGCATCTGTGAGTCTGATGGTGGAGATGACAGCATCTCGTTCTTTTCCCTCGCAGATCAAGACAAATGGGGCATCGGAGAACAGCGGCTCTATCACGTCGCGTATCTCGTTCCTTCGTTGGACGACTGGATTTGGCGGAACGACCGTCCTCTTCACCTTAAAGACACCGGCTCTTTTCTTGCAACCAATAGGCGTTTTGATTGCTGAAGGGGGCAACGTCACAGGAGCACTCCCTGATGACTCGGTCGTCCTTGGTGGGTAATTGGAGGTTCCAGTAGGAGGTCGTCGGTGCTCAGTGAGTCCAGGTGCGAACTCTACGGGGTGTGAACGATGTTCAACTGATGGAGGCTCACGGTCAATCCGGTCTCTTTGATTCCTAAAGCGCTGTAGTGATACATCTAGGGTGACAATCTGTTGATTAAAGAAGATCAAAATGCGGGATGGCAAGGACATGGTAGAGCTCGGAATTGCATTGTGAAGATTATGCGACGGTAAGAGTTGGCTGTGACTTCCTTGGCGTACGGCGTGGCTCCCACCTTCTTTATCGTGAGCTCTACCAACATACTTAGTCGGCATGTAAGCAGCTTGTGGATGTGGAATCAGCGAACTCGGTAAACTCATTCTGGATTTCAATGATCGACACTCATCGTAAACCACGATTGAGTGTTGTGCAAATGAAGGACAGATAATGGCTGTTAATATGTGTGAAATGTTCATCTACATGTCAATTATCATCTCGCAGTCAGCCTGGCGAGAAGCCTAGTAGCTGTTGGGTTGCATTCAAGAGGCTATTGGGGCCTAAACTGAGGCTATGTAATGTAGATCCATCCAGCCTGCCGCGGTCTGGAGCAGACCAATGTAGATTCAAGCAAAACAACATCGATATAGTTGATTTTGGACTTCGTAATTCACGCATGGATAAGATGGCTTTTCGCAGATGGGACGCATTCGGGAACAATGGCAGTCTGCTCAAGCACATGTTTCCGCTTACGAATCGAAGACTTTGGGAGTAAAAGAAGCCGATATCGACTTCTCCTGTGAAGCACAGGATTACGACAGCGGCGAGGAGGTTGTCGTCTACGAACCTTGGGAGTCAAGGTTGCTCCTCGTCAAATTTGGATTCCGTTGGTAGTTAGCTCAAGTGTTCCCCCGTGTAACATCTATGCTAAGTTGTCAATGAGTCTCCTCAGAAAGATCCTCAACAGACAACATGTCAATGTCGCCATGCGTCTCATAACGTTTTCAGACAATCACCATGTGTTGCAAAGCGTCCTTGTACAACGGGAAACGCTTTTACATAAGCAAAATCTCATGGGCTGAGACGCGCATACACGAGCTGACATGCAGCGTACCCGGCCTGCAGGTTCTCGTGGGGATGGGGTGACGGGGCGAGAATGCTATGCAGCCACACTGGGGAAGGGCCAGGAACAAGAAAGAATCGATTTACGTATTCGCCGAGTGACTGCAATCACCCGAAGACGATCGCAAAGTGAGGCAAATCAGGCTACCTACGGGATCGAAATCCCGGCTTGGGAGGGATACTCGGCGCAGGTTGTGTGGGAAGGTGAGAACATGATCAGATTGCCAAGACTCTGGCGTGATGCAGAGGTCTTCGTAAGAGAAATATAAGTGAATGAGTTTCCCCGGCTGAAGCAACGTCAATAAACATTGGAAAAAGCCACTTGCCAAAATGTATCTCGCCATAGCTCTCCTAGTCCAAGTGGCCCTGGCTCTCAGCGCACCCCTCGATGACCTCACAGCCTGCCTCCGCACCGCTTCCGTACCCATCGCATCCTCAACCCCGACGCCATACAACCTCCGTGTCCCTGTCAAACCACTTCTCGTCGCCGTGCCGACCACGAACGCACAAATCGCCTCCGCGGTCACATGCGGTTCCAAGAGCGGTGTCAGGGTCAGCGCAAAGAGCGGCGGACACAGCTACATCTCGACCGGGTACGGCGGCGAAGATGGTCATCTTTTGATAAACCTGGACCGCATGTACAGCGTGACTGTCGCAAGCGACGGGACAGCCAAGGTACAGGCTGGTGCAAGGTTGGGACACGTAGCCACGGAGCTGTATAACCAGGGGAAGCGGGCGATATCGCACGGGACATGTCCAGCGTGAGTGTCAATCTGAATGATCAATGAGTCTTGGAAGCTGAGCTGACCCGTGTCACAGTGTTGGTGTGAGCGGCCACGCCCTCCACGGAGGCCACGGCATGGTCTCTCATACCTACGGCCTTGCCACAGACTGGATCAAAGCCGCGACAGTCATCCTCGCCAACGGCACAATCACGCGCTGTTCAGCAACGGAGCGCCCTAATCTCTTCTGGTCCATCCGCGGCGCGGGCTCATCCATGGCAATCGTGGCAGAGCTTGAGTTCAACACCTTTGCCGCGCCTGAGAAGGTGACATATTTCGATATTGATTTGGTCTGGGATACGGTGAAGTTGCCACAGGTTCTTCTAGATACGCAGGAATTCGCAAAGACTATGCCAGCGGAGCTGACGATGTCAACGACGTTCAACAATGATGGGAGTTATCTGAACGGCGCGTATGTCGGCGATGATGCTGGCTTTCGCGCGGCGGTGCAGCCTTTGCTTGCGAAGATTGGGGCCAAAGTGTCTAGTTCCAAGACTTTTGGATGGATCGACTTTATTAAGCACTATGCGGGTGTGACGGATATCGACGTGACGACGGCAACATACAATGAGGTAACTAGCACCTTGCACACCGAAGCTGCAAAAGGGGGAGACCTACTAACGCGGTCAACAGCACGACAACTCCTACGCATCAAGCCTCACAACCCCCGCCCTCACAAAAACAACCTTCCAATCCCTCGTCGACGCCATCGCAAAGAACGGCCTCGCCCCAACCCGGTCCTGGTACATGCACATGAACTTCCATGGGGGCTCAAACTCGGCCGTGGCGCGGCCCAAGACCAACGATACCGCCTACGTCCACCGCGACAAGATGCTTCTCTTCCAGCTCAAGGACGCCGTCACGACGAGTCAGACGTACCCTTCCGACGGCTTTGCGCTGCTCCAGGGGTTGAGGCAGAGTATTACCAAGAGGCTGAGCAGCGATCAGTGGGGGATGTATGCGAACTATCCTGATTCCCAGATTAGTGAGAGCGAAGCGACGCGGTTGTACTGGGGGAGTAATCTGAACAGGTTGGAGTGGATTAAGGCCGATTATGATCCGACGGATGTGTTTCAGTTTGTGCAGTCTATTAAGCCTGCCGAATAGGAAGTGAGCTTGTGTAGTAGGGTACTTTAGGATAGTCCTGGAAGAGCGCGTGTCGTGAAGAAAGTGCCTAGGGATGGCATCTTCACGATGATATAATTGAGAGCCTTGCCGGATTGATGAGGTAGAATCTAGCAGTGCAAAGAACTTCCCTCCTTCATTTGAGAGAGTCTGATGAAGAAGCAAACTAACAAGTAGCCAATGTATAGTATCACGACAACATGGAGAAAGATAGAGCAAGATGGGGAGCGTGGAAGTCAAAGGCTGGGAGAGAAGTTCTGGCAGAAAAAGAGAAAGAAAAAGGTGAACATGCGTATACATGGTACGCGTAGGAAGGATACAAAATACATGGCTTAGCTTAGGCTCGGATGAGGGCATGGCTTCGTGGCCTTTTACATTATAATATTACATATACAGCTAGGTAACATTTACTCAAATGGTGTCGCTCTAGGATGTACCATTTTCCATTGACATGATTCAAGATTTGTGAACTCGCTCGAGCCGTGCTAGGCACAGTCGCTCGGTGGCCCAGGACGTGATGAGTCCACAGGCTGATTCGGCGCGGTGTCTTTGATAACTCGAACAGGTACACTACCGAAACGCAACGGTAAAATCGTCGACCGCTTCCTGAGCGCTTCCGGAGCGATTGCATGATGAAGCAAAACGCGAGCCTTCTCGACTCCGACTACTCTCCACAGTAAATGATACAACTACTCGATATTCGATTGGTGTGTTGCTTGAAGAGCATCTGGACGCATAGAGGCAGGGAAAGCTGAGGGTATCAAATTCGGGCGAGGCATGTCTGCCCAAGAGTCGCGGAGAGTGTCTTTCTCAAACGCGGTCAGTCAGTCTGCCGTGTGGCTCGTGAGACTGCCCTCAGCTTGTGTGGTCTATCCTCGATCTCTGTTGTTGGTCGTGTCTATGTGCCAAGCAGAAGCGAGGGCACGTATCAGGTCCGTAAAGCCCATCGATGGTAGCACCGATTGAGGAACAAGCTTTTGCCAGTCGCACTCGACCGGTTCCATCAGCTTTGAAGCATATGAACTGGCGGTATCAGGGCGCAGCAGAGACCATTGGAGCTACGTCTTCGAATAGCCACACGCTTTGTTGTTGCGCGGAATATCCATACCAACGACAAAAATAACCGAGTAGAGTTGCACAGATAGCACCCAAGGTGTCATGAGTCAACCACACAGGGGCCGCGGCCTGTCGTGAGCTGGCAGATTATTCGGTCTGGCCTTCTCATCGATGATCGAGCATTCGGAAGACAGACGTGTTTCTAACAAAACATTCTTCATCCTGGACGCCGCAGCCCAAAGCCAGTCGAGTAGCCCGATCGTCGCCGTGTCCTTGCATATCGGCAATGATGCGTGCCGCAGCATTGCAAGACATTTCCAGCGGCGAAGCAGCCGGTGGGAGCTGCTGATGGGGTTCCAAGGGACGGGGAGGTGTCTCACTCCGACGATGATAGGGATGGGGGCTCCTGGATGGTTCCGAGACAGTGTTGGGTGCCGAGCCAGTCTGGGAGGAGCGATTGAGACTAGCGTCGGCGAGCACGGCGAGCCTGTCTAAAGGGGAGGATTGTTGGACATCGGGCGTTGGAGTAAGGGTGAGCACCGGCGGGAGCAGCGAATCTCCAAATTTCCTCTTGGATGCCAGGTGCTCGTTTTCCGTCTCGGACGAGAAGCTCGCCTTGCCAAAGTGTTCCTGCAGCGGAGGCAATTGGGTCGGCGATGGTTCGAGTAGGATAGGTGTGCTGAGGATGGGAGCGAGTGTCGTTATGTTGGACGCGCTGGGCGAGCCCTTGCTACCTTCATCATCGAACGATCGCAAGTGTGCGTCCACCTCTCCATTCGATACGCCCTTGCTGACGAGCAGGGCGCGCAGACGAGTATTCTCGGTCGCGAGTCGTGAGTTCTCAAAGGCGACGTCTCGAGCAGCCTTTTGCATCTGCAAAGAAGCCTGGGTCCCCCGCTTCTCGTAGTCCTGGACCTTGCGCTGCAACTCGTCGACGAACTCTTTGTGGCGGGCGCGTGATCGTCGTTGATTGTCGCGTATTCGAATGGCATTCGCGGACTTGTCGGTCTGGAGCTGTTGCTCGAGTAAGAAGTCAGTTTTCGTCGTCGAGAGAGAAGAGATGAAATTTTAGCTGAAGTCCAAAGAAGTTTTTTTTTTTTTTTCTGGCATGTCACCCAGACCCCGGTAAGGGAATGGGAATCACACAGAAAAGAGGTTCGACCCCATTGACTTACTCGACCACGTTTGGCCCTCTTGGCTTGAGGGCCGAAAAGATCTTGATAATCTTGCTCCGAAGACATGGTATTGACTGTTGGCCTGTTCCATCCGAAGATCCCGGGAGGGTATGGACGCGGAGACGAACATTCGGTGGGCGGTGAGGCAGGTTTGGAAAAACAACCTGCTGTGATTTTTTTTTCCGTGGTGGTTGGACTGTCGGGGGGGTGGGAGGTGGTGACAAACACCATGGGAAAAAAAGAACAAAAAAAAAAAAAAGAACCAACCCGCGTCGGCCAGCAAACCCGCTCATTCTGGCCAGCCGATGACTAATATGACCAGCCAGCCAATCCGCGCCGACTTGTCTGAGTTTTTCGCAGGCGCTAAAATCTGATTGGCAAATGAGACGAGCTTCACGTGTATCCATAGCGGGTCTGGTGGGGGCCCAAGCTCCATGGCTCCAAACATGGCATTTCTCACTTTTCACTCTCACTCTCAGCTTCACAGTGAATCTCACTCTCACTCTCACGCTCGCTCTCGCTATTCTGCCCTCCCGTGGCTGGGCTGTGTCTCTCGGTGCAACCTCCGACCACTCAGAATCAAGGGCAGCAGCCACCACATTGTTTCATTGGAGTAATCCATGACGGAAGGATCCAAGAGACACTCGAGAATGTCCCGGGCATTCTGAGACCGAAAACCGCTGTGTCACGTTGCTTTTGCGCGCTCTGGATTCACGAATAATTCGAAAAGACTTGGCCCATGCCTGCTAGTGCGGGAAGCTAATTCACTTTTCTACCCTCCCTTTTGCCCTAGCAATTCTTGAATGTCACTGGGGGCATGCTAGTCACGCTTCTTACGACATCCCATGGTCCCACCTATCTCGTCTCCATTGCTCCATACGCGCGCCAAGTTACAAGGATTTGTTGTGTGGAGTTCAGGGTCTCGTTCTATGTACCGTGGTACACTACGGATAGAGCTGGCCACCTTGAGTGGAACCATTCCATCCATGGATGGGTTTGGTCAACTCAACCTTCTACGGAGAACAAGTGAGTGATAACTACTTTGAAGATGCAAAGAATGACATAAGTTCACCCCAGGGCGTCAGGCCGTGAACTATTTCCGTGGGTTAAATGGGAAACTTATGCGGGAGATACATTCTTTTGGTCCTTCCATCCAGCCCCCCCTGCTCACAGCTCAGTAGGGCTGGTGTACTTTCCCAGCGCAGTATCCCTTGAATACATCTGTCTAACAAAGAGTGACTTGTTTCTCGTTCAGAACAATCCTCGGATACATCAGCAATCCACTGACCACATTCTCAAGCTCAATAGCCCCCAAGAGGCGCTCAGACAACTCTCGGGTACGTAGGCAGTGTATCTTTACCGGCAGGCTGGGAAGGGATAGACGCAAAAATGGGCCCAAATTTGCTACAACAACAAAACATCATCCTCCAAAGTGAGACAATCTCGAGGGATTGTTTTCCACCCCAGAGCACTCCCCAGCAGTTCTCTTCCATCAAGATAGATATGGCATGAAGGATCTACAACCGCTAGCTTAGTGAGATTCAGTAACTGGAGTTTTGGTGCCGTGACTTTGATGCTGTTAACCTCAGCAGACCGTCCAATACCAACAATCTTGTGAAAAGAAGAAGCCTGATTTTCTATTGCAGGTCCCACAGATGGCGTCAACTTGTGTAAGCCCCAACGATCTGCTAGATAAGATAAGTCCTTACACGAAGCCAGAGAATTGAAGTCGTAACCCTTCCATTTCGAACCAAAGCAGTAAGAAAACCCACCCTGCGTTCGAAGTCTGAAGGTCTGATGCATTACCGCTCTTAACTTTATTATCGTATGATGCCAAGAACCAGTGTTCCTTGCAACGGCCATTGATATGGCAATGCGATGGTGATGTCACCCGTAAGAGCATGAATTACTAGCAATTACAGTATCCATCAAATTATACATTCTCGGCAGTCATGTCAAACACAATTGGAAGGTTTTGGAAAGACGCCTTTTCAATGGAAAAAAGATACAGTGTGAGTGAGGGCAATAAAACTCTGTCTTATCCCACCGTTTGTTGACTGAGAGCCTGGGTTACACGAGGTCTTGCAGATCTCTCAGTCTTCGTCCACCCGAGACACGAAGGCTCGGCAGTTAGGGGCATCTAGAGTGAGCTACGGTTCGGGATGGCACTTAAACTTTGGTCAAGACTACAAAAGATTACACGTAAGCTCTCCACGCCCTCAGCAGCAACGTGTATTTGGGGCGCAAGTTGCCATCATACAGATATGTAATTCCGTGCCAACGATGATTCGGAGGTGGCCCACGAGCCCACGTAATGAAGACGTACACCAACACGAAGGTCGTAGACGACACTGTGGAAAGACACGTAACGGGCCTGGGAGAAGAGCTCTGGCCGACATCGAGTACCTTATGTGAGGATATGTGAGGTTTCATGGTCCAGTTCTACCGTCGTAGAGCTACTGCCTTGACAAGATAAGGTAGGAAATAATATTGCACTTCCTACATCAATCATGGCCCCTTCCCGAACAGAGGTCAAACCCATCCAAGATTTGAAATTTCTGGTATACACGTCAGCAGGCATACGTCTTGGTCAGCTTGAAGCTCAACAATCGTATAAGGTATTGAATGGCGATTCAGCTGTGGAAGCATACAGAAAGACGCGAGTCCTACAGATCCCCCTTGAGTGGAAGCAAGAGGTTAGGATAGTCATTTTAACAGCCTGTTCTACCTTCTACAGTGAAGTGTGCTGCAGGTGTCCCATCATATTCTTGTGGTAGTTGTGTATTGTTACCGTACAACTTGAAAAGACTGACGTGACCGCAAGTGCACCCTACTCACTCCTCCCATGGACGTACATCACTGAGCTCTATTAAATCACAAGAAAAACATATTGACACCAAGTTCTACCAATTTTCAACTTGACATCATCATTAAAAAAATCAAACATGTCTAGAAAATCTCTCCTAAAAGTTCGGGCAAAGGGGTTGAACCCTGGCCCTATGAAAATCCCACCCCCCTAGGGAATTTTCTGCTCTGTATTTAACCGCTCGGCTATAGCGTTCCCGGGGCGTCCCCCAGGGCTGGTACACATTGGAAGAAAAAAGTTGTAGATATAGGGTGTGAATGGGCGGTGTGATTGCCATCCGGGTGAATGAGGCTATAGGTGGCTTGAGATGTATGTTGGGATGAAAAAGGGGGGCCCGCCCAAGTTTGGGCTTTGTCACAAGATATCCGCTGTACTATACACTTGATCTTCTAGTATGCTAGAATATCCCGAGAAAATGTCAACAAGGAAGGTAGTATAGGCCTTGGCTTCTATCTCCCATCTACCTACCTCCTAACTTTCATCGCCTCTGGAGACACTTACCTAAAGGTAAGATTCGACGCCAGAAGGGATTCGCCGATTCCTTCCTACCTTCACAGCCCATCCATAACCACTCCTACATGATTATTGAGCTTCCCACCGGTCTATTGGCTGGCCACTTGATGTATATACTTCTTTCATGTATACTGGCACAGCCCGAAATAGTAGACATATCTTTGATAACATTACTGGAACGTGCTTCGATGAACACTATGCGGGAGTGCTGGCAGTGAACGATAGCGCGGTTACGTGGGAGTTTGTATCCCGTTATGTATCTATCAGAGACATATAGGCGTGATATTGTATTCAGATCCCTTGCTCATGAAGGGATGTGTTTACAGCATGAATGAAGGTAGCATCAGTAGATGCAATGAAATTATGGAGTGTTACAACCGACACACAACTAACTCTAGTAATTGATATAGTGCCGGTCTGACGAGGTTCGAATGGCCGGGCATAGAGTGACCTGACTTGACAAGATGAGCGAAATCTCAGTGAGATCGCAAAGCGAAGATAACCTCATTCCTCAAAACTTAGCCCTAGTCAAGCTTTGGTATTCATTCATGAAGTTATGAAATGGAATTCTTAGCTGGCAGCATACGCACTCAAGTCAATGTTGAGCTACTTCATCTAAGATACGTGTCTACCCAAGATATGATATTTAAGATCTTGAGGTATGAGTAACATCGATGTGACTAATAGTAGGTATTTGGATCTGCAGCTGACACATACACCGAATCATAATAATCTTACATACCTAACGTAGGGTCGTTTCCCGTCAGAACTCGAACTCTGATTATTTCAAACCCTTGTTTCCCTTTCACATGAGGTATTTTTCGAAATCGACATATGTTCTAGGGTCGGAACCCCCGCAAGTCCAGGAACAGGAGTGTGTTGGACAAGATACCTGTCTTGGATGAATCAAGGAAGTCATTATGGTGCTAGTAAGTTGGCCTTCGGATCGAGTCTGGCCTTGGAGAAATGATATGGCTATTCTTGGCTGAAAGCTTGATTGAACTCCTCGCACTAACACCATTCTTCAGCTACTTACTTAGTGATTTAGGCAGAGGCGGAGTGCAAGATACGATCTTTACCAAGTTGATACGATCAAGGCGGCAACTAGCCACGGCCCAAATCGCATTGGACACAAATGGAAGTAGGAGAAAGATCGGGCTAGAACCCCTGATTCAGCTATTGGTAAATGAAAGGATCTTCTCTGTTATCAGCTTGATCCACTTCATAGATCTGTCGAGGTTGGCGACATGGGGGAAGCTAGGAGAGGCGCGGGTATCTTCTCCACGATCGTATCGGACAACCAGGCACCAGAAGTAAACCTTGATCCCGATACTACATCCTTTGAGGGTTGGGTCAATTATCTAAGGACTCGGCTGAATACAGTCATTGACCACGGAACCTTGCGCAGAGGGATAAAAGCCGGAAGACTAGCCTTATTGAGGTCTGCATCGATGGCATTGGTGGATCGGAGGAGGGCCCGGGTCTTAGAGTTGAAGTCTTCTTCACGGGAAAGGATAGACGCCCAGGGACAGAGGAACTAGCTGCTGCCAAAGGAGTAGCGCCACACGGGTTTCCGGATCGAGTTTACAGTCCGTCAAGTTTACTGATCAGGACATATATAGACCCTGGACGTGGGGTGGTGTCATCCAGGCTCGGCTGTTGGCGTTTTAGCCTTCGACCCTTCGCTTGTAGACCGCGCCCAGGTCTGAGGTGAACACGATGATATGATGAAGTAAATTTGCCCTCTAAGTTCCGGTAGTCTAGAGGATGATGAAGGATCAGCAGATGGTTGATCTAGCACATGCTCATATGATGGATGAAGTCAGAATATGAGTTGAAAATCTGTGAACAATGGAAAATGTCGACACTGTGACCTGCTTGCCATTTGTACGTGATCGTTCCGTCCACGGATGCCTTATTTCGAGTCTGAAATTGGGGACCCGGGAGTCTGGACACATGCTCGAACGATGTGGATGACTTTCAGAGGGAGTTGACAGCAGTAATCGGTCAGGATCCCAGATTCCGCATCTTGTACGTGCCTCGTTGCATGTTCAACGGATGCGTAATGCAGGACGGTTGATCAGATTAGATATTGTCCAGTCCCACGTTCCAGACTCATTAGACAGAGGTCAAGTCCAGACCATGAAGAGCCAACGGAAAAGTGCCGAAAACGAGGAAACCGTTGTCATGACAGGTGTGAAGATGGATGACTTATGCTCCTCGAGGTAATTCTCAAGCCTGTTGATAATAAGCTCGGTTACACGAAACCGGTCTCCTTGTTGTCCACCTCAACCCCCCTCTGGAATGCTACATTGTCATTGCCGAATCAATGGCACACCTCGGAATCTGCCAAGCGGGTATACACGTTTTCGGTCAAGACCGAGGAGGGGGACAACAGCTGACGGAAGCCGGGTGCGTTTAAGCGTGCCCGGCAGCCGTGTAGAGACGACGCGCTTGGGAGGGTTTCATTGAAGATTTTCGTGCCTCTGATGAGATTCATCCATATCCGGTCGCATGGCATCATATCGGGTCCCGGAAACACTTGGTAAGGTCGGAAGTCCGATATCAGGAGGCCTTCGAAGTTAGGAACATGGTCTCGGTCATGAACCCATGATGCGCATGTTCATCGTCACCTCCTGCAATTGCCTGGCCCTACGAGACGGCCGATTGACAATACTTGAATCTCCAAGCTCGGGTGGTGGGCACAACCAAAAGATTGCACAGCCCTTTTGAGCTATGGTATGCAGTGATGGGGTGTCTCTTTGAAGTTATCGTCATTCTAAGTGCAATCTGTTTTCCCAGAACTCTGGTTCAACGGCAATTCCTCTCGTTTCTTGACGCCGGCTTTTCCTTGCGCCAAGAGGCTTCGCTGGCATCATCGGCAACTCGCTGGCAAAGGGAAAGTGTGTAGTTACACATCAAAAAAATCGAAAAGCTCGCGTTGCGGTGCCAAGCGAGAGCCATGCCCCGAAACGTGATAATGCTCGGCCCCAACACATTCTTGAAAGGGATGCTCGAGGCCTAGCGGCCGATCCGACATGGAGTCGACACGCCGCCACAGCCTAAACCGGAGCTAGTCGTGTCTCTGAGCTATGGTCAGGCTCGACTGTGCCTTCGGCATCTACTGAGGCGCAGAATGGGGCGTAGTCGGAAAAGAGAGAGAGCGAGAGAGAAAAAGAGGCTTGAAGGCATTTTTGAGCCGCATTCGGTTAAAACAGTTCTCGTTCCGCCAACACCAGTAGACAAATGGCGAGCCCCCCTCGGCGGTCTTGCCATGTCTGCTTGGCCTGTCGATTTCCAGAAGACGGAAGTCATCCTCGTGAAGGCTCTCAAACTTTAACTAAGCGAACGACCAACCAATCCACGCAGACTTCAGGCCTCTGCCCGGCTCCGATCGTCTGCTCGATTCAGATTCTGGGGCGTTGACCGCACCTCAGCCAGAGAATTGAAGACCCATCTGCAGGACATCTGTCCGCGGGCATCTGAGACTTTGTACCTCGGTTCAGGGCCTAGCCGTAAAGTCACCCCAGGAACCCATGGCCTTTCCACCAAAGGCAGTCATAGGCTGGACGGAAAACGTGGGATACGGTAGAAGCGTGCGAGTGATGACACTTGAACCCGCCCACCCCCCTCTCCCCTCCCCTCCCAGCGTCAGGCAGTCTTTCAGATTACGGCCCCAGTGGTCTGGGCCGACTTGTCCGCACCCGGAAGGCTACTTTGCCATCTCCGCCGTGGCTTGCACGACGACGCCCCGTCCTCCCCGGCGGCTGATCCGAGCCGCACCCTCGTCCATATTTGTTACCCTTCCCAGGTATTTCCCCCTCTCATGGTTGCACAATTTTCTTTCGTTTCTTCCTCTGTCCAATCTCGCACTGCTGGTTTTCCTGACTTTGGTGTTCATTGGAACGCACCCCCACGAGACCTTGGACGCCTTCACCTCCGTCATGATTTGATCACCACACAATTTGATACCACAGCGAAAACCACTTGATTGTTGCGATGAAGCCATATCTCATTTTCCTATCTTTCTTGGCGAGCCTACCATTAGTGTATGGCCTCTACGATGATGTGCCAGACTGCGCAGTAAGTCACTCGAGAACTTAATCTCACTCGAAGGTGCTGACAGGTTACCCTAGCTACCCTGCCTATTCGAACCGCTCGACTACACAGCATGCCAGTTCAGTAATTCGACATGTCTCTGCGAAGACATGAACTACAATATGGCTGTGATTCATTGCGTTCGGATTCAATGTAGCGTGCAGCAGGCCCTGAGTAAGGATATCATTCGATGGCTGTTGTGTGAATAGGGAGGCGCTAACAAGAGCTTGATAGTTACGAAGAATCGAACATGGCAAGACTGCGGATTCGCATATCACGACGAGGAAGTATCCATCGCCTGGGTTCCGTCATTCCTCTTCGGGATGGTAACACTATTTTTCGCCATGCGGCTGGCGACGAAATGGATAGGTTTAGCAACGTGGGGGTTGGACGATACAACCATTACCTTTGCATACGTAAGTCTAGAGAAGCGGTCCCGAGATGAGGCCTTATCTGACCTTTGGATCTAAAGGTAATGATGATTGCATTCTTGGTCGCCACACATCTTGGAAGGCAAGAGGGATTCGGAAAAGACATTTGGACGCTCACGGTGGATCAGATTACAAATTTTATCAGAGTAAGTTCGGGAGCTCAACGACATCTAGAACATGACTAACCCGTAAGTTCAGGGCTTCTTCGCTTTTGAGATTGTCTACTCCGTGACCCTTGCCGTCATCAAAGCGTCGATACTATTCCTCTACCTACGCATCTTCGGAGCACTCACCGAAACTTTCCGCCGAATCTTGTGGGCGACGCACGCCTTCAATGTCGTTGTATGCGTCACATTTGTCATTGTCAACTTGAACCAATGCAAACCTCTCAGCTATTTTTGGTTTGGATGGGATGGCAGACATCCCGGTTATTGCATCGACTTGTCCGCCATGGCCCTCTCTCATGCGGCCATCAACATCGCCCTCGATCTCTGGATGCTGGTTTTGCCAGCCACGCAGATCTACAAGCTCAACCTGCAGAAGAGGCAAAAAGCCGGTATTATGTCCATGTTTGGCGTTGGTATTTTGTGAGTACAGCCACCCACATGTGCTACTCTGTCTTTTAACTAATCTGTATGTAATAGCATCACTATTGTCAGCTGTGTTCGCCTGCGCAGTGTAGCACAGTTTAACAAATCATGGAACCCAACCTGTAAGTCAACGTAACCTTTTGTCATCGAAAAGTCCCTCTTGCTGACGTATGGTTAGACGACTTCTTTGGCCTGGCCCTCTGGTCTCATATTGAGCTTTGCGTTGGAACTATTGTAGCATGCATGCCAGCAGCCCGAGCCCTCGTCCGACGACTCTTCCCTGAGCTCCTCTACGTCACCAACATCTCCACGAATAGAACTTCCACCAGAGCTTCCGGCAACGTCAAGATTGTGTCCCAGGACATTGCAACCATTGCCACAGATGACATCCCCGAGAGTTCGACAACGAACTCTACGAAAAAGGATTCGCTCGCCACCTTGATTCCCGACCGAGTCCCGCTGAGGCGACTGACTACGAGCGATAGCTTGCTTCAGGTTTCTCATAGTGATATTGATCGCTCGTCGAACGGAGGCTCACAGAAAGGAAGCAAACTAAGTGATTGGTAAACGTCTATTTGGCTACATGTATTCGTAAACGACAATGTTAGTGGTAATGGGACTGGCGAAGGAGTGTGAAAAGCATCGATAATACCCTTCCTTACTGTACTAAGTACGAAGTAGATTGATATTCAGATTTTTTTTTGAAGCGATGTAGTAGATGAAGCCCACATCTTGTAAGAAACATTATATTTTCTGTTTGGGAAAAAGAAAAAAAAGAAAAGCCAAAAAACAACAACAAAAAGCAGACGTAAATCTATGTATCTCAGATGCTCAGAATCTCTGCAGCGCGGGAGATTGCAGATGCGCTCTTGTCCACCCATTCTTCGGCCTGTGTCTCATTGCCAGAGCTCAGACTGTCCTGCACGGCGGGGAAGACATCAGCGCCATAGCCGTTATCAAGACCGGGAGCGCTTATGACATTGTGGAATGTCGGGCGTCCAGGGAGACCGCCGGCGCTCGCAAAGCCACGCGAGAAGTCTCGGTACTTGCCGTTGATCACGTCGATAAGGACCGTATCGTTGAAAGCGAGGGCCTGCTTGGCGACTGTGGCGATGCGCTCTGCTGCGGCTTCGAACTCGGTAATAGCTTCGTCAATGGGAGATAGGCTTAGGCCGGGGTAGTCCTCGACGATGGTCTCGTTGAGGTCCTCGTAATATGTTCGTAGCACGCGTCCGGCATTGGGCAGATCCCACGGGATGATCACATCATCGGCGATGTGATATGCAATCAAGGTGAGCCACTGGCCCATCGCCCGATGGATCTTGAAGCCCGGGTCTCCAAACTTGGCCATCCAGGTATATGAATCGTAGTGCCTACTTTCTATCAGTCATATGCGTCATGGAAACCGTGTGAATGGCTTGGTTTTACCCGTGATAATGATAGACTGGATCAGTTTTGCCCCCATCAGATCCAATATCAATCTTGTATGTGTTTCAGTCTCAGATATCGCGGAAGGGACAGAACAGAGCACTTACAGCACTGATACCATTGTGATAGAAAGAGGCATAATCGCTACCGCTTCCCAGGGGAGGGATTTCGCCTTCGGTCGTGTTGAACCACATGTCGTACAAGGTTGGCCCGACACCCCAATCTTCAGGGAAAAGAACCTTCTTCATCATTTCAATAGCGACCGTCTGAATTTCGCCTGACCCAGATAGAGCAGTTCGGGGTCCTGAAACAGCAACATCGAGGTTCAAATAGGCGACAGCGTTCGTAACGAGCCATGGCAAGTGACTTTCGACCCATTCAGTCGACCCTTGCAGGCCAAACTCTTCAGCATCCCAAGAGCCCAAGATGCTAGACGTCAAATCAATTTTGTTCTCCCAGATGATCAGAGGAAAAAAGTCTAGTGCACTTACATTGTACGACGGGGTTTCCACCCCTTATCCAGAAGCTTGCCGAATGCTTTGGAAAGCTCTATGAGGACTGCAGAGCCCGAGTTCGGATCCGCCGCACCCCCAATAACCCAAGCGTCGCGGTGATTCCCGATGATGAGGACTTCGTCCGGATGAGTTCCGTTGATGACGCCAATAACATCCCATGAGGGTGCGATTGTTTGATTCATGAAATGTACCATATCAAGCGTGGCACCTGGTGTTGGACCGCTGCTGTAAGTAATGTTCGGCAGTGCGCCAATCCAGCTGCTGCGGTTGATCTGCTCGGCGGACAAGCCGCTTCCATCAAGAGCGGCGAGCAATGGCACCGCATCCTTCATGCTAATGGGTACAGATGGAATGGTTGGGTTGTAAGCAGTCACATCGTTTCTCGGGCCGTCCTTTTCTGATGCATACCCAACTGTGGAGGGATCACCTGAGTACAGCGACGAGAAACGGACACTGCCTCTTTGGATCATGGACGGGTTTCTGGCTGGTCCATCTAGAGGCATCGAATGTCTTAGTAAAGTATGCCTTGTGGAACCTGACTTCCGAGGCTACGATATGGACTCACCTGGGTACGCAAGGTAGCCGTTGGCAACTGTAATCTCTCCGTCATCAAGGGGGTCGGTGAAAAGAACAGCTCCGATCATGCCGTTGTCCTAAATTGTCAACTTTTGTAACCGTCCCTCAGATTGAGTGAGACATACCTGTGCATTCTTCACTTTGGTTCCTCTGTAAATCGCACCATACATTGACAAGGCGATCTTGCCTTCCAATTCGATTCCAGCATCTTTCAGGGCTTGGAAATCTCCGCGTTGTCCGCGACTGCATCCCAAAATTAGCACCTTGCATAGCAGTTCCTTTGTGGCTTCAGGGTTAACATACCCAACGTAAACATATTCGGCACTGATGTTGCCACTTCCACTCATCGCATGGTAGGCCGGAATTCGGTTGGGGTAGCTAGTGGTAGGATCTTCCTCCAGCATATCCTCAATCAAACTGACATTGTGGACGCTTCCATCTGGTCTATTCAAAGTCAAGGTAGTCTCAAGAGGAGCGGTATACCAGATCCAATACTCCTCAATGGAAGCATCCCAGCCAGCATCAATCCACTTCTGTTGCGTCCACTCAGCTAGAGTCCGGTTGTGTCCACCAAGATGGTCTCCAGAAGTATAGTAGTGAGACCATTCGTCGAGCGATTTGCTATCAAAGGAATTCACAAGTATAGACTCAAACTCTGTGAGAGAAGGCGGGTATTCCACTGCCGTATCCCGTTTCTTGTGACCTTGGTCGTGGTGAGTGTGGCGCTCGATGCGGCGGTTAAGGGCGGCCCAGTCGCGTTGACAAGCGTAAATGCTTGTGGCCGTCAAGGCCAATGAAAGAAGAGTTTGTCGCATGCTGAAGCTACCGCAGTATTCCCATGATTCACTTGATTGTCTCGAAGGTCCAGGTTTTTAGCAAGATTAAGTTGTTTTGTTCTTAAATCCGCACTCTTCAAGATTGCCGTATGCTCATCACATCATGGGCCCCTCTGACAAGGTTCAAAAGTTCCATAAGCAAGCAAAATCAAGGCAGAAACCGGGAAAAACCGTCGAGGCATATTCGACCAATACCTTCAGTCAATCTCACTTACAGAGACCGCATTGCCCGCATCTCACGGTGCCTACGTGACATCCTGCGAACTTCCTATCCGGCGTAGCGTTCATGTAATGCAACGTGAGCCAGCGGTAAATGAGCCGAGCTCAAGCAACGAGACTGCAGCTTATATCTCCGGAGGATTGGCTGGTAATGAGGGGTAATATGAATTTGGTGATCTCAAGCATGGGGTAGATCTTGGCGTACGTAGTCACGCGCATGATGAGTTGGATTGACATTCTTGCTCACAGAATTGCCATCGGCTTAGTATGCTTGAGAAACCGAAGGTGGACTCGGAGTGCTCGGGATGCTTCAAGCCATTATCGGAAACCATGACCCGCTGGACTCGATGTTCGATGAATGTTTATTGATCCGGATAATCCGGAATAGCCACGATAGCCACGGTAGCGTGGTTCTTGACATCGAATCTTTATCAGTCCAAACCAACAAAGCAACTTTGAGAGCTAATCCTTGAAGATGGCTTTCCTCCGTCGAAGGTTAGTCTATTCTAGTCAGGACAGAGGCCAGAGGCGACACCCATAAGCCACGACCAAACGCCACACTGGGCCAGTCGAAAAGCCCACCAAGGGCCACAGAGCTTAGTCTATCCAGTCTTTGATGTAAAGATTATGAACAATCGATCATGAGTGAAGATAAGATTACTGTAAAACACAGGAGCCAGAGCTACTGCAGGAACAGATATGCCCTGAGGGAATGAGACACTGGACGTGCAATGGTGCATCGGGGCGGAACGTGTGAATTTCAAGCACCATTTACTGCTGAAAGTTCAAGATCGATGAATGCTGGAAAGAGGAAGCCCAATCATGGTGTCTCTCTTGCGCGATGCGAGAGATTATCATGAACCAGGTAGCTATCATGAGATTCATGAGTGAGAGAGAAGTGAGAGGCCTCAGGGGCCAAGTTTGAGCGGAGTTTCCCCGGCGCACGTCTCGTTCCAGGCATCCTAGCTCGATCCCGAGGTACTTGGTTTCGCTGCCAATTTTGCCCACAGATCAAGTAGCCTCGGCTAAGTCGCCCCACCAGCTGCACTCCAGCTGCTTCTCCGCATCAAAGCGTCATCGCCCAAGAGCTCCAGCTCCAAGCTCCCCCAAGAGCTCCGAGAGCTCCATCAGATCTCACGCGATCCACCTCCCATCTGCAACCACCATCCCTCCAGTCATTGGACCTCTCCTTATCACAACACACACATCTCGATTCTCAGCTGGCTGGTTTCGTCAATCGCCTTATCGCCATAGCTTTATCAATAGGCCCTCATCACGCAATCGCCCGTTATGTCGGAGAAGGCGCCGCTTATCCCGGAGGCGGAGCAGGGCGTGTCTTACGGCCGGCCCAAGCGATGCCCGTACGCCCAACGGTGCTCTGCGGGGAAGGCCGTGGTCAAGGTCTTCGTCCTGGCTACTGCTGCCGGCTTGCTATACTGCAATATTCCTCAAGGTTAAGATCCCTCAAGCGATGTCGTAGACAGCTACTAAAGTCTGTCTGTGTAGCCCAGAAACCCATTCACGAGGAGAAGACGCCCGTTTGCATGACACCGGCCTGTGTCCATGCCGCCTCTGAGCTTTTGTACAACTTGTCACCGAACTACAAACAGCTGGACCCATGCAATGACTTTGAGGAGCTTGTCTGCGGAGGGTGGAGAGACCGACACGACCTCCGTGCCGACCAAGGCGATGCCTTCACCGGCACCATCATGTCCGAGAACTCGGAGCTGCTGCTTCGTCACATTCTCGAGGCACCCTACCCTAAGGACTCCCAGGTCAGCACAACCGGATCGTTAATCACGACCTCTGCTAATTGATTTCCAGCATTCGTACTTCTCGCCGCTCCGTCTCGAATCCACGGACAAGTCTGCCGACGAGCAGAACTTTGACAAGATGAAGGCTGCTTACGATGCTTGTGTCGACGAGGACAAGATCAAGGAGATCGGCGTTGAACCCCTCACCCAGATTCTGGACGAGATCAAGAACAGCTACC